GGTGATTGATTGAGGGGATTGATTCATTCTTTGAGCTCCCCAGGGCCCTGCCTGGATCCCAGAGCTGTCATCCCTCTTCTGGGAGCTGCTCTGGGAACACTTTGGAGCACATTTCCTTACCTGAATTTTCTATTTTTGGTGAATTTTCTATTCCCCACTTGCTGGAAGTCTTTTCAGTGCAGCCCCTGTGCTCTGTAGCACCGAACTCATCTTTTCCAACATTAACAATTCCATGTGGAATCATTAAACAACCAAACTTTTATTTTTTCCTACTAGAAAGCAATTTTTATTTTTTTTTCCCCAGAGTTTTTTTCCTGTTGTTCCATAACTGGGGCCACACAGAAGGCTGCAATTTCTAATTACAAATATTTACCAGTCCTGTAATGTGTCACTGAGAAATTAGACCTGGTTGTAGCTAATGAAAAGCTCAGCCAAGGGATGCACCAGTGTTAAGCTGTGGGGATCCATTACTTTCCTCAAGATTTGTGCTGTACAGGACTTAAACAAGGAACATTTGAAGAGGGAACCAAAGAGCTGAGGTTGATGCCATATTTAGTAGTGCATTATAATTTCTCTTGGAAGAGGTAGACCCGTAATCTGGGAATTTTGGCTGTCATCCTGCTGCTATTTATGAGCAATTTTAATGCAGTAATTACATGTAGGGAAAATTGTTCACTAGGTTGATGAGATAAATGGAAATTTAATCTTTTTCTCTTGCTTGGTTGTCCAATATTTTTATGACATCCTTCTGGAAGCAAGGGTATATAATAAAAGAATCTGGAACTCCACTGCTCCTTGGAAATACTGATAGTTTGAAAGATTTGCTCAGTGTAAGCTAAAGGCAGCTCATTAAACAAACAAATGAGATGTCCTTAGAGCAATCAGTATTTACTATTAACTGAACAGCACAGTAAATAATGAATTGCAGGTAAGGAACTACAGATTAGTATTTGCAGTGAATTCAAATTACTTGACTTAAGCCTGGGGCAGAGAAAAGCAAATAGAAAGATGGAAAGAGAAGAAGGATGGGTAAAGAAGGAAGAGGAGGGGTTGCAAATGTAACATTTGTTGTAGCAAATGTGTTCATTTGTTGTGCAGAAGAAAGGTTTTCTCGGGCAATCTGGTGCCCCCATCCCTGGTGCAAGGGGTGCTGCACTGAGTCCACGTGGGAACAAAGGGGGATGTGGAATTCCTGGGAAAAAGGAATTGGGGGAGATTTTATCATTTTTTTTTCCAGTACCTGAAGTGGGGTTACAAGAAGGCTGTAGAGGGACTTTGGACAAGGACATGGAGGGACAGGAATGGCTGCCCACTGCCTGAGGACAGGGTCAGATGGGATATTGGGAAGGAATCCTTCCCTGGGAGGGTGGGCAGGCCCTGGCACAGGTGCCCAGAGCAGCTGGGGCTGCCCCTGGATCCCTGGGAATGCCCAAGGCCAGGCTGGACAGGGCTTGGAGACACCTGAGATAGTGGAAGGTGTCTCTGCCCATGGCAGGGGGTGGGAGAAAATGATTTTTAAGGTCCCTTCCAACCCAAACCATCCTGTAATTCTGTGAAAAGCAGGACTCTGGGCCTGACCCAGCTCGGAGAGCAGGGCTGATGATTTCTCCAAGGTCAGGACTTTACAAGTGGGTTCCTGGCACTCTCCTACCCCAAGGACAGAGCTGTGCTTTGGCACCAGTGAGACCACAACCTGCCCACGGCTGCCAAGTGCCTGCACAGCTCCCCCAGTCATTGCTCCAAATTACTTAGGCAGCGAAATTGTTCATTTGCTAGGAACTGGCATACGTTGAGAAGTTTGGGTTTGGAGTTTAATCATCACTGGAGAGAGAGAGAGAGAGATTGTGCTGCATGAAGTTTGGGTGTGTGGCTGTGTCTGAAGCCAGGAGGGATGGATAGGCTGTCTGGGGGATATTGCTCATCAAGGACGGGGCTCGGGGTGTTTTGGGTGCTGGAGGTGAGGGAAGGTCGGGGATTTAATCAGGATCTCAGCAGTTTCACCTGAGGCCTGGTGGGACAGCCAAAGCTTGGCAGCCCTGCCTAAATGTCACCTTAAAAAGGTGAAGAGCTTGGCCCAGGTCCCCGCAGGGAGGATGTGCCTCACCTGGCTGCCTGCTGAGCTCCAGCAGCACCCAGAACAGGGCACAGAGTGGGGCACGTCAGGGGAGATGTGTGTGAGGTGTTGGCATTCCATAATCGCTGTCACAACCAGGATATTGCCTCTGCTACTCCACCAGGGATAACAGCCATAGCAGCAGGAGGCTTATCTTGCTGGGAGGCTGGCACGAGGTAAATACCTCTGCAAAGAACCTCTTGCTTGATTCACATCACCCCAGGGCTGCACCTCGTGGAAACCCCTCAGAATAATCCAGCTGAGGTCCAGCACGGCCACAGGGAGGTTTCCAAGTGGAATTATCTGCAGGATGTGCACAAGTCCATCACTGCTGGTCCCCCTGTGCTGGCTGCTTCCAAATGCTGGTGCTGTCAGCATTAGTATTCAAGCCAGGGAACAGGAGTGAGGTGCTAGACAGGCCGACTAATTACAGCAGCCTGCAGAGGCAAGTTGGGCTGTAGCACATGATGAAGGATATCCTGCTTGCTTGGAACATTGCTGCTTTGCTCTGGCACTTCATTAAAAAAAATAAGGAAAAAAAAAAAAAAATAAGGTGTGAGCTAATTGGTTTGGTTAAGGAACCGAGCTGTGCTCTTGTCTTTTTCTTGAATTTAATCTGAATTTATACAACGCTTTGTGACACTCATCTAAAACAAAACTTGCTGTGACCTAAGCAAGCTGCAGACCTCCTGTAATCCCAGCTCCCCTGCCTCTGGCTGCCATCCTGACCTGCCTGCTCCTGTCCCCAGAGCTGTCAGCAGATGGGGGAGAGGAAGCTCTCGCTGCCCCCAGCCCACCATCTGCAGGCAGCGCGGCTGGTCAGGTTTTTATGAGCCTAAAGTGCAGCTCTGCATCCAGAGGGATTTCTGTCAGAGCATCTGTTTTACCGCCGGTGGCACAGATCTGGGGCTTGGGTGTGTGCCAGGAGCAGGTGAAGAGGGGGACAGCCCCATCCTGCAGTGACAGCAGCCATCAGGTGGCTGCTGGCTGGGGCTGCTGCGTGTCCTGTGTGTCCCCCGGGCTGTCACACAGCCCAGGTTTTGGCAGGCTGAGCTTTGGAAAGCTCTGCTGCTCACAAGTCAGAGCCAGGAGAACTCAAACTGAGGGAATATCGACAAACAGAACTACTGGTGTTGCCTGATTCTGGCTGATTTACACCCAGGATAGCCTGGGGGTACCAGCTGAGCCTGTCCCCTGTCCTTGTCCCCTCCAGTGCCCTTCTGCAGAGCGGGGCACTAAGCAGATTAGTCAGCTTCTTCCATCAGCAAATACTCGGGGCCTAAGATACTTAAAAGACATCTGGTTTTTAGCCTCATTTCCAAACAAACGAGGCTTATGTGATTATCGTGTCTGTCGCTTGCCCCTCGTTGGCCAATTTCAATCCTCAGCCGGGGATTTTGGTCTCACAGATGAGAGCTCCCAGGAAGTTTTGGTGGGCTGGTGGCCGTGTGAACAGAGCTCATCCTGGAGGGAGGGCTGCAGCACAAGCTGTGCTCATCTCAGAGCCCATGGGAGAGGGAATGTGCTGGGGGAAAGGGAAACCTCTGTTTGTAGGGAAAAGAGGGGAAAACCCCCAGGCACTGGAGGCTGTGGGCGGTGTGGCTGAGCTCGGCCTCTGCTCCAGCTGTGCTGGGCAAGCCCAGCCATCCCCAGTGCCACCTCCTGCTGTCCCCCACGCCAGCTGTGATCCCGGGATTGCTTTGCTGATCCCTGGATTAACGGGGTGGGATGTGCAAAGATCCGAGAGCTGTGTGTGAGGCAGGCTCAGCCGGATTGCCCTGGTGCAGGCCATGGGCAGGCCGTGCCAGGCCGGGCTGCCTGCTCAGCCTGTGGCTCCTGCATGTGTTTTATCAAAGTTATCCTGATAATTGAGGTCTGCATTCTCCTGAGACTGATGTCCCTTAGCTCTGTTAGGGGGTGCACAGGTAAACACAGCTTGTGCTGGTTAATAATTCACTCAGGTACTGTGGATGAAGCTGGTGGCTGGAATCCTCCCTGAACCCACATTTGCAGAATCACAGAACCCCAGAGTGGTTTGGGTTGGAAGGGGCATTTAAAATCATCTTCTCCCACCCTTTGCCATGGGCAGGGACACCTCCCACTGTCCCAGGCTGCTCCAAGCCCTGTCCAGCCTGGCCTTGGGCTCTTCCAGGGATCCAGGGGCAGCCACAGCTTCTCTGGGAATCTGCCAGGGCCTGCCCACCCATACAGAGAAGGATTTCTTCCTGATTTTTGATCTAAATCAGAATTCTCTCCTTGACTTCTCAGTGAATTTCACTTAAGTGCTCTTTAGAGCTGGATCTGTCTTTCTTTTCTCAGCTACACAACATGTTTGCCTTGTAATTCAGAACCTAAGGATGTCTAATGGAATGTGTAAAACCCACGTAGAGTAGTTCTGGGACTGTGGGGGAAAAGCAAAGGTTTCATGTTCTGGTTCCTAGTAATGAACTAAATGAGATTGTGTCCTTCTTTGAGCATAAATGAAAGATAAAAGACAAATGAGATTTACGAGCAAAGTCATTAGTGTACCAAATTTCTCTCATTAGATCTGTTACATTACTTTCCAACTTACACAAGTCCCATTAGTAAAATTTATGAACTGGAATGATTACAAATACACCATATTCCAAACCATCCCTACTTTTAATTGCCAAACAGCAAAAAAATAATTATACTTCTGTGCTACAATAGAGCTGTACTTTTGTGCATGTGTTTTTATGTTAGGATTTGAACAGAGGCTCTTCCTGAAGCCAGGGGATGGGGCGAGAGGAAAATGGACCATTTAGTGCTATTTAGCTGCAAACCTGAAGCATTGCTTTAATTTTATAACCGTGTCAGAGCCAGGCTGATATTGCAGGCTAATATTGCTGTTTGTTCTCTCCACCAGACTCCCACTTTCACATCCCTGTGCCTGATTTGAAGTGACAGTGAGCGGAAGCATAAGGTATCTCTCATTCTGTTTGGACTCCTTGTTTACAGAAGAGTGATGGAGATGCTATTAAGCACAAAAGGCATCACCATATGCCTGTTTTTCTTTGTATTGAGTTTGGCAGCAGCTATTGAAATACCATTATCAGGTGAGTTGTAGCTATTTGCTGTGCACTTTGCTGTTTTGTTTGGTATTCCTTTCCAGCTATCCCTGAAGGAAAAATATTAAATCCTCCTTTCCAGTTGTGTTCCATTTGGAATTTAATCTTGCCACGATGTGGCCTTTGGGAAATTCAGGTCTGATCAAAAGCTAAGCTGTCCTGTTTGGACCTGCTTAAATGGAGCAGTAAAGTTGTCTAATAATGTCTCTCTGGTGTTTGCCATCCAACGCAACGCTTAGCTCCGAGGGTTTGGGTTTGTCCTTCAATTCCTCATTTTGGCTCTGAATCCCCCTGAAGCTTGTTTGATGTGTGTATATCCCTCCTTACTTGTCGTGCAAGATGCTGTTCCAACCTGGGAAAGGAGCAGGTGGATGTCTCAGGGCAAATGTTGGTCCCCAGAGAAGGATTTCACACTCCGAGTCCTGCCCCAGGGAGCAACTCCTGCATCCCCCACCAGCTGGGATGAATTCAAACTGCTTGTTTGACATGGATCATGAGCTTCCAGGACATGTGTAAAATGCAGGATGAGGCTCACAGGGAAAATCCCAGGAAAGCCAGAGGACCCCTCTGCCTGGAGTACAGCCCAGACCTCCCGAGCTTTGCATTTTTCAGACATAAATGGACCAGAAGGGTTGAAAATTGCATTTTGCTTTGTTGTTTCGGTTGCAAAAAAAACCCCAAACAACCCAACAAAGCAAAACTCAACAGTATTAGGGTTTATTAATTATGGTGGGGAAAAATAAAGAAGTAAACCTAAGGAATAATAAATTAAGGGTTTTTTTTCAGGGTCTCAGAGTAGGACATGGGCCAGTTTCAGGGCATCCTGTGGAACTGCCATGAGCTCTTAGCAGCCTGCCAATAGCCCTGGCTCCAAGAGGAAGCCAACTGAGCAGGTTTATAGGATATTTTTGTAAAACTATCCAAATTTACATTGGGAAGTAGAGGTTTCTAGGTTTTTTCCAGGAAGGAACTGCAGTGGCTCCTTGTGTTTCAATAAAACCAAAGTGGAGCTGTGACTGTAAAGCACAAGACAAACTCTCTGGGTGTCCACTGCTTTTATGAACCTACCCAAGGGAACCACCTAACCCTTAATTAGGTGTAAAGAAGCATTTTCTATTATAATAATAAGTTATTTCTGATCAGCAGAGCTGGTGGGCTTGTTCAGCTTTGAGGCCATGTGATGTGACAAGACACCGCATCTCACTCCAGCTTTGAGCTCCCTGGATTTAAACAGCACCCAAAGAGCATTTTAATTCTCTTCCTGGCTGTTTATAACAATGGGGTGATCCTATTATCCCAGCTCCACTGCAGGGAACATTCTCCTTCCTCTGTTACACAGGCTTTTGCAACACTTTAATTCCCTCAGAAAAAAAATGAGGAGTTAGGGGCAGCCTCTGTGTGTGACCATGCAGCTGCACCATGGGGCAGGTACTAAACCAGCCTTGCAGTCCATGGGTTTTGTGGCAATTTGATCCAGGATGGAGGCAGCAGTTTGCTACTTCATGTGTGTGCATCTGTGTCCGGATTGAATCCAGTTACTGACCTCACCTATGAATAAATGTGCCAGGCCACAGCTCCATGCTCTGGTGTGGTCCCAGCTCCCCTGTGGCCTGGCTGGGTTTGGAGGGGAAGGAGGGTGGGCACTGTCCCTCTGCCAGGCCTTTCTTTGGCCACCGAGGCAGTGCCAGTGATCAGAGTGTGTTGTCTGTGCCAGGGAGGTGATGATCATCTTTTCCCCAAGGCAAGCCTCACTTTCTGCAGCAATAATGCGATGCTGCCATTGTCCCTCTCCACTCAAGGGGAGCCCAGTTTGGCTGGGACAGTGTTTTAACCCAATTCCTCTTTGTGTTCAGTTTCCCAGCTTCCAACAATCACAGAGCAATCCCACACCCAGGTTGCCTACCCCTTTGATGAGGACTTCACCATCAAATGTGAAGCCAGAGGAAACCCCCAGCCCACGTGAGTACTGCTCGGAGAAGCAAACAGAAGCTGAGTTTGCTTTTAAGCTTTGCCAGTCACTGTTGTGTCTGTCAGGAGCTGCTGCACAAAAACCTGCTCGTCATCCTCACTGGGGTTAAGGTTTGGATTTCCTTTCAGGCCGTTCAGCTTTTGTTGCTCCATCACTTCCCCTCACCCTGTGAATAGTTATCAGCATGGTTTTCCTTGATGGGGGATGTTTCATTTCTCTGGCACGTGCCAAATTCACCCCATGGTTTAAAAAAAAATCTTGTCTGGGTTGTGCTGTAAAAGATGGTTAATCAAAGGGGCCCAGCTGCTCCTCTGCCTCTTCCACAGCAACCCTAAAAATCCCAAACACATAAAACAATGTATTCAAACACCACATTTGCATTTTATCAGATACCTTGTCTGTACCTAACATCAGCAGGGCCGTGGTGATGGTACAAATAGACACATAAGGAGTTACTCAGATAAATATCCAAAGATAAGCTCTGTGCATTTTACACCAGTGTGGAAAAGAGAAAGATTTTTAATGAAAATGTGATTAACAAGGGTGCAATAATAACACAGTAAAAACTCCTCCTGTGGCTTTCACCACTGAATGGTGTTTGGGCTAAATTAATAGCTGGTTTGAATGTAATTTTTTCTCTTTAATCCTCCACTTCTTTCTTTGCAGTACAATTTAAATTTTAAAAGACATTCTTTTATTTAGATCAAGACGATGTGGTAATTTTTAATTGAGCTCTGAACGGGGATTTGTAGCATGATAACAAATTCCCTTTGTTCCACTGTTTGTCAGTGCATCAATGAAAAGTTTCCTGGTGTGTTTAAATGATGAGGTAGTGCCTGTTAGGTATGGGGTTCCCATATTCCCCCCATCCTGGAGCAAGGCAGTTTGGCCAACAACAGTTTTGTTTACATTATTTATTCTCTTAAAACAGAAAAGAAAGGCACATCTGCCACTAAATTGATGTTATGCTGTAATTTCCAGCTGCCTGATTTTAACTCAGTTTAGGTAAATTCCAATGCAGCTGGGAATTGCAGCTACAGGAGCTGCGACAATTCCCTCACCATTCATCAAAATCACTCCCCAGCAGCATCAAAACTACAAATGGTTTCTATGGCAAGGAGAGACTCAATGGAATCATCTCAGTTTCTTCTGATTCAGCCACGGTGGAGGGTGGGAAAAGCTCTGGTGGATCTTTGCTGTTCCAAAGCAGCAGTTCCACCACAGCCACAGCCTTTGCAGAGCTCCAGGTCCTGGGTGGCTTTCCCAGATGCTCTGACTGTCACTGTCCCTGCTCCAAGCCCTGAGCTCTTGTCTCATGTCACAGCTGTCCCCAGGCAGAGCGTGTGGAAGGAGAGATGTGCCTGAGAGGCAGCACGAGGCAGAGGAGCACATTCTGCCTCTCACCTCTCCTCTCACATCAAGCTTTTCCTTTTCTTCTGGTAAAACCCTCTTGGTCCAACATTTACCCCTGGTCAATACCAAAATGCTGCCCGCTGTAAACATTTCTTTTATTTTTCAGCTTTAACTGGACCAAGGATGGAAAACCATTTGATTTATCATCTGACCCAAGGATAGTTACATCTAACAACTCTGGAACTTTTGTGATCCAAAACCGGGGAATCATCAACAATTTCCAGGGGAAATATCGCTGCTTTGCATCCAACGTGCTGGGAACTGCCATGTCAGAAGAAATTGAGCTGATTGTTCCAAGTAAGTGCTTTACTTTTGGTTTGGATTTGTAATTACTACTTTTATTATTAAGATGAGAATTGTCTTTCCTCAAAATAAATGGGAAAGAACCACTCACTAATGTGATGCGTGGCAAAACACGAGTTGTTTGTATTCAGTGAACATTCAAAGGAAAAAGTCGTATTTTCTCCTTGGAATGGTTTAATTTAATTCCTGGTTTTGAGGACAGAAACCGAATCTGGATGCAGGATTTCAGACCACTGAACTATCAACTCCCACAGGTTATTACTGCAAAATAGCAATGGATGCAAATGTTTGAAAGCTCCAGGGGAAGTGATTTGATCAACTGTGAGTTCATTAATCTGATGTCAGCAGCATTCAGGGTTTGGGATAAATACTGATGGGGAGAAGAATAAAGCCCTGGAACTGAATGGAAAACAAGGTTAAAAATAAAGCAGGGAAAATTACTGATCCTAGAAATTTGTGCTTCCACTATTAGCATGGAAGAAGGACAGAGGGGAAAATGAGGGATTAAGAACCAGGTTTGTAGAAGTGGGATGAAATTTATGGATAGAATCAAAGGATCATTAAGGTTGGCAAAAAGCTCTTAAAATCACTGGGTCCAACCCAGCCCAGCCAGGTTCAACATTCAACCATGTCCCAAAGCTGAAACAGCTGGTTTGTACCAATCCATTTAATCACCTGTAGGCTGGAATATGAGCACACATTTTGGTTCTAAATTCAGGATTGAAACATATGAAATAAGAGGAGGAAAATCAGAAGCAGAATCTTCCCAGTGAGAGTAGAAAGGACCAGAAGCTTCCCCAGCTCCGTGATGGAGCAGGGTGAGAACCTGAAGCAGGTTTTATGATTCAGTTCAGTGGCAGAGATGGAGAAAAGCAGCAGTGCAGTGGGTTTTTTTTCAGATTAGATCCTTCATTTCCAAGCTCCTGCAGTATTTTGTTATCAGATATCTGACAGCTCCATGCTCAGGTGGAATCCATGTGGCAGGGGATGCATCCACAGCCTTCTCAGCCCCAGAGTGGCAGGAGGTGGCTGCTTTTGTACAAAAAACACTTCTGGCAGATCAGTGCAGATGAAATGGGCTATGAGAAACATGAATAAATACTTTTGTCCTGTCTTCAGCACGGGAAATAATCCTGAGAAGCATTCAAGGCATAGCCAGGGCTGGGAGAGTCGTGGTGCTGTGGGCAAGTTGAAAACAAAGACATTGGGCTGGGAGGGTTCCTGGGAGGGACCTGCTGAGGTTGCCAAAACACATTTTATGAGTACTCCTCATGAAAGACATGCTTTATTTTCCTTCCATCCAGTTTTATGGATTTCTTTTTTCCTTGGGAAATCTATTCCATGTTGCAATGTGTCGCACAGCAATCCCTGATGCCAGAGCTTGGTGTTTGGTGAGGAATTAACAGGATTCCAGGTTGCTCTATGCTTCAGTCTCCACCACCTCGCAGCTGTTTTTTGGGAAGAGCTTTCCAGAGCAGAGGAGAATTGCAGAAAGCTCTAGGACAGTAAGTTGAGGTTTATTGAGGTGTTGGCTCCACAGGCAGCTGATGGCAGCTGGAGTTTCAGGCAGAGACAGGAGAGTGATGCAGTTCAACTTCAGACAGAGCATAGTTCTTCACTTTGGAGTCTGGACAGGGCAGTGGGGTTCATAGAACTTCTCTTAAGCAAAATATCTCAAACTCATTACGTTTGAGAGGAGTCAAAGGGCTCAGTGTCATGTTTGTACCTCCAGCAGCAGAATATTCTGATACTCCATTGCTACTGAACTAAAAAAGATGCTTAAGATGGAAAACAGGGAGTTTATGTCTCTATTTGAGATTATTGAATCTGGATTCAGAGAAGAGATTTTTGCCTTTAATGAAAAACAGTCTAGAGGAGCTTAAGTAGATATTAAATATATTGAGAGTGGATGGCAATGAATCTATGGAGAGGTGACAAACACGGTTGTTATCAAAAGCAAGAGGAATTTAAGTGCTAATATATGCAAAGCCCTAAACCCAGCAAAAAAACCCCAAAACATTGTACAGATAATGTATTAGAGGGATTTACCCAACTCACACATCTTTTAAAGCACATTTGCTGTTATTAGAACTCTTCTGCCATCAGTTCTTTCATTTACGGGTGCAATGCAGAGGCTGCAAATTAAATCAGGATTGAGAGAGGAGTAGAAGGCACCTTTGATTTTCTAAAGTGCTGGATGCTCTGCAAATGTGCCCCAGTGAAGGAGCTGCTGGTGCACAGATCCGCTGTAAATCAGGCCCTGCCACGCAGGGGCTGGGGATAAATTACCTCTATTCACCCCCAGGTTTTGAAGCAGAGCCTGGTACATGTGAGATCACTCCCTGCATTCATGATGATGATGCAGAGGTGGCAGAGCTGTGCCAGCTGCATTCAAGTCAGATGTAAAGCTCCTTGGCAAAGTCACCATGCCAGGGAAGGGAAGAAAACCCCAACGAGGCAGAGCAGGGCAGTTTCTTTCATAAATTACATTTCCAGTGCAGAAGCAGAATACTGGGTCTGTAAGGCTGCTGCTGAAAAGGAGAACAAAAGACTGTTTACTCACAGTAGTCATTCCAGGGAAGCAATAGAAATGTCAGCAGAAATGATCATTAAATCTCACCTACATAATGAAAATACCCCACCTCCCCTATGCAGGATGACATTAAGGAGAGAGGGAAGAATGGGCTCTGAGGATCTCGATGTGTTTGCAGCACTAACAAAAGCCAGATTGTTACAAGATACATTCAGCATGAAAATGAATTTAAATGGTGAGAACACAGACTTCAGCTCCCCTCCTCCAGCATTTTGGGAATCTGCTGCTTGAATTAGTGAGCAGGCCCAGTGCCAGAGGAAAGAGAAGAAGTATAGTTTAAACTTCTTTAATTAACTGTGCTGGAAAAGACTCTTCATGGCAGACTGAGTTAAGATTTATGCTTGGTATTTCTAAAGCTGTTGCTCCAAAAGACCAGAGACCTGAGGATGGAAATATTGTCTGAATGTAAAATTATCCCTTGGCAGGCTGTGCTCTGCCAGTGACATTAGTGCCAAAATTCCCAAAGAAAGCCAGACCTAAGTTAATATTCAAACACTCAGGTGTGAATATCCTGAAATCAGTAAAAGACACTGAGCTGATATGAAGTAGGAGGTCTCAGTTCCCAAAACTGAAGCTTTGGTGTAGCTTCTATGGAAGAGAAAACAAAAGTGAGAAGTTCACTGAGACTTTGCAGGTGATGGGAGTGCAGTGTAACCCTCTTCCCCCCTAAGGCAGTGACCTTCACCCATGGCAGCTTTCCTGGCCACCTGAATCATTGGGCTAGCTCTGATTCTTGCCTGTGGCCATCATTTTGAAAAAGATAACAGAGATTTACACAGAAAAAAGCTGTCCCTGATTCCATTCCACATCTCCAGGAGCGAGTGGATTCCTGGCCACTCTCTTCCTCTGACAGCCAGGCTTTGTTAACTTCTTCAATTTAAGGCAGCAATTAAAAAATCCATAAACAAGCAAGGTCGTATCTCATAAACAGTTCAAAGGCTGCAATGGAAATTACAGATATAACTACTGCTCCTGCTCCATGGATCAGAATATCAATTGAGGCACAGAGATGAGCCCTGGAAACTTCCCAAGCTCCACTCAGTGCAGCTCAGCATCAGGGACTGCAAGCCATGGTGAAGATTCCTTAAAATGTTGGGCTGTTTGCTGGTACAGATACAGATCTGTATGAAAAAATCACAATTAAATACTAATTTAAGTGTCTAAGGAGCTGGAAATTTTGAGGTTATAGAAATTTCTTGATTATTTCTGCTTTGTCTTGCTTTTACATCCTTTAAGGGTTTATTTGCAAGGAAAAAATGTGAGGCTATCCATGATGGACCAGGCTAAGCTCTCCTTTATCCCAGAAAATCTTCAGTAGAATCCACAGGGAAGGTTACAAAACCAGACCTGGGTTAAAGTGATGCTTTTTTACAATAATTTCACAATGCATTTGCTAATTGCTGATTTACCATCCTGAATTCACTCCCATTTTACACCTGATATTGGTAGAAACAAGACACAGGGATCTCAAGGCCAAGTTACCTGGAGGAATGCTTTTGTTCAATTTCCCAACACTTGACCAGAAAACATATAAAATACCTGATGGAGTGGGCTCCATTCTCACAAAAACTGGAGTAAATTGCCATAATTGATACAGTTTTAGCATGAAGTTGCTGTAATCAGCAATAGGACAAAAACTGAGCTGTAGGACAAAAACTGAGTTGTAGGACAAGGTGTCCTGAACAGATCCCTGGGTAAATCTGGAACAATGTTGGGGACTGGAGCTCCCAGCTCTGCTTGCTGCATTTCTGAATCTCTGTTTCTGCTAAACTCAAATTAAGCCTTTCTATTGCACTGCGTTGGTCTCCCTCCTGTTTGATTTGGGTTGAGAAACTGCATTTTCTGAAGGGATAAGGAGGAGACACTCAGGCTCCTTTCTGGATTTCCTCCCAGCCCCCTGAATTTGCCAGTGGTGCTTCAGCCTGGTCTCAAGCACAGCTCAGTCATTAAACTTTGAGTCACCCCAGGGATTAAGCAGATCCTGGCTCCTTGCACAAATGACTCTGGCTGCTGATAATCTTCCATTTCCATGGTTCTCACACTGTCAGAGCACTTCAGGTCTGGTTTTTGAGTGCAGACTTGTCAGGGAAAAAACCCTTGGTCAGCAAAGCCTTTCCCAGGAGTATTTGAAGAGGTGTCACGGTGGGATTTTAGGAGATTCTCCATAGCTGCACAGCCCATGGTTTGTGTGTGGTGAGAGCCCTCCTGGCCCCTCAGCCTTTCTCAGAGCCACTAAATCCCTCTGCTCTCCTGATGCCTGGAACAGAGGCTGGACAGAGCTCAGGATAAAGCAGGGATTTACTGAAAGGCCTTAAAGGACACACCGTGGGCAGCACAAGAGCCTGGCCAGGGCTGCACCCAACCCACCCTTGTTTCTGCTTTTGTTCTTGTCCTGGGTACCAAGCTAGAGAAGGAATTGTTTTGTCTGCCTGTTCTGTGAAGAGAGCTCACTGACACTGAATATGAAGCTCAAAACTACACAGCTAGGGAAAAAATCTGAAAGCTAAAACTTAAGGCATCGCTCCCCTGTGCTGTGGATATGTGGGAAGCAGCACCCAGAGCTGTGCTGGATTCTCTGTCCCCTCTCATCACATCCCTGTGGGGGGATGCCATGGAATATGGAATATTCCAGCACTGCAGAGACTGGATTTTTCACTCCATGTGCTGCACTGAGGACTCTGTACGATGTTAAACACTTCCATGGCACAGTTTATTTTGTGTGGTGCTGTGGAGTTTAACTCAGCTGTGCTCGTTTCTGATTGCTCACAAATCAGTGGTGATTGATTCTGGAATATCCTCTAATTAGAACATAAGAGCCCTGCAAAAAGATCCAAAATATTGCCTGCATAGATGTCCTGAAGATTGATGTGCAAAAGGCAAAGCCTAATGTGACAGAAGGTTTTCATTTTTAATAAATCTGAATTCAGGAGCAGGTATTTTTCAACTCTTTGAGACCAGTGGGACCCCAGCAAAAAAATTATGCTTGTCAGAAGTTTTGGCTCAGGAATTTATCATGAGTTTTCATCTCTTGCAGAGCTTCAAGGATTAAACCATTCAAATTTATCCATTGTGAGGATGAAAATCAAAGTTTTTCAATGCTTTTCATGGTGAGCTAAGCAAAAAGAAACCAGCATGGAAGGACCCAAACACCCTGATCACCTCTGGTGCAAGTACTTGTTGGAGGTGGAGGACATTTGGGGTCAAATTTCTGCTCCCCCCAGTGAAGTCCAGCTGCCAACATCTGGGCCCCACGTTGGAGATGAATGTCTGTGCTGCCAGCTAATGACACCAGGACTGTGACTTGTCACTGTCTCCTGGTGGGACTCAGTAAATTTCTGTATAATTCTGTAATTTCTGGCCACACAAATTCACTGAGGAGCGCAGTGGTTATGGCACCCAGCTGGGAGATCACAAACCCAGCTGTAGTTCTGCTAAATGAGGCAAAAAATGGGTTTTAACAAGGGGTTCACAATGTCCTAAATAAGTGATCCCAAATTAATCCATTTGCTGATCTCATTGGTTTGGTCAGAAATCCCTTATCCTTCACCTGATCCAGCTTATTTAAAGTTGTGTTGTGAGTGATGTGCTTAGGGGACTAAATAAGCTTTAGATCAAGAAATTGGCTTTTTCCTGCTGGAAAATATTCCACCTCTGCAGTCAGCAGATGAATTTCCCAGGGCTTGAAGAGTGCAGGTTACTGAAGGTACTGGATATGAATATGCAGCTCTTTTTTTTCCACCTGAAATTTCACCTACAGGGTGGGTGATGCTCATTAGCTGCATTTTGCCTCTCCTAAGAATTCCTAACCTATTAATAACCCTCCTGGAGATAAAATCTCTGCAGAGTCTGCATTCTGGCAATCAGCACTGGAGTGATTGCTTCTTTTCTTTATAACATGTTTACTAATCCTGAGATGTGGGAAGTGTCCTCAGAGTCCTGTCCCTGCATTCCTCCCTCTCTCCTTTCCTTTGCCTCCTGCACTGTGATGTTGCAGATTCTCTGCTGATGTCTCAAGCTGTGGAGCTGCTCTCAGAGCTCCCTGTCGTGACCTGGGCACCAGGGAGGTGATGTTTGCTGTGCTGCTTTGACTCTGCACAGCCAGGATGTTCTCCATCCTTTGCTGTTTAATTGCTGCTCACTTTGCTGGTTGATGCTGGTCTGAAGTGAAACTTTGGCCAGTTTGAACTTGCCTGGAATGAAAGCAGAAGGCAACGTCAGCCCTGAAACTGCCTGAGCTCAGTTCCTTCAAGGAGTGGTTCCATTTTGCAGGCTGGTTTCTCTGTGATCATCTCCAGGCTGAGTCTGGGGTGGGATCCAGCCCAGCTCTGCTCCCCATTTTCCCACATGAGCTCCAGTGGCATTTTGGGCATCCAAATTTGCCCAGGTGTGCCAAGCATGGATCAGGCTTTGAACAAAATGCTGGCAGCAGGTGCTGTGGATGACAAAATGTTGATCCATTAACAGTTTAACCTGTATTTAAGCACAGCCAGAGCAGCCCTGTGAGCTTTGTGCCAAACCTGTCCCTGCACCCTGAGCCTGCAGGGATCCATGGCTGAGGAGGCAACAGAGGCTTCACCCCAGCCTTCCTCTGGTCCTGCAGATGGAGAAGAGCTGGGGCAACTCTGGGCACGAGCCTGATGTCTGTCCTCACCCACAGTGGATCCTTAGGAACCGTGGTTTATCCAAGGCTTCCCAGAACATTCCACACTCCCAGGCTGGTTTCTGATCTCCTGGGAGCAGCTGGGGCCCCATCAGTGCACAGCCCTCTGTGCCAGCCTTGTCCTTAGGGACCCTGTGGCCTTGAGTGGTCCCTGCCAGACAGCACAAAGGAGCTAAAGAAAGTGTTTGGAAAGAATTGTGTTCAAGTAAAGCCAAAGCAAAGCACAGGACGTCACAAACAAGTGTTGAACATCCCCATTCAGTGCCTGGCTTTGCATAGGATGCTCCAAGATCTTTGTGAATGAAGGGATTCCTATTCTGAGTGTCCCAGAGCACAGGGATTTCCCACTCTGAGTAAAAATCATCATTATTCTGTGCCTCTGTGTAAATTAAAATTGGTATTAAAGGCAAAGAATGCAAAGGATGATGTAAAGGTAAATATTTTATTAAAACTGTATCAAGGGGAAAGCAAAAGGAGACATTTCAAAAGCCACCAATAAAAGAGGAACTTCTTTGCTTTTTTGTGCAGGTGTGCCAAAATTCCCCAAAGAAAAAATCGAGCCTCTGGATGTGGAGCATGGAGATTCTGTGATCCTGCACTGCAACCCCCCAAAAGGCATCCCCCCTTTGCATATCTACTGGATGAATATTGGTGAGTCAATGGTTTTTGCACAATTCGCACAATGGGGCTCAAAGTATTTGTCTTTCAGAGCAGTTTCATTGCAGATTCATCAAGGATGGGAATTGTAATTGTGAAAGTGCTTGGGAGAAATATCTGGATGCTGAAGAACAGAATTTACAAATAGAGAATTGAGATCTAGTTTTACATGGTCCAAAGTTAAATTGTTGAATGCATTGACACAGCATCTCATTAAATATGAGATAAAAAATAATTTATATATTGGTGAGTCTGCCAGTGATGAGGAGTCCTGCATTTAGGGAAGAGAGGATAGCTCGTGTCAATGTGTTATTTCTCTCATCATTGTTTTCCTCTTTCCATAAATTGATGATTGATTTATGATTGTAAGGGAAAAATAATCCACCATTTTTATATAATTAGCTCCTTGTGGGTTTCTGTCCCGTTGTTCTGCAGCACTTGTGTTCTGTTCTGCAGGAATTTCTGCCTTTTGGGAAGCAAAATAACTCTGTTTTTTAATTATTAATTCCTTATCAGTTATATAAGTATTCATTCTTATATAAAAAATATTTTTATCACAACATATTGGTATATAATTGGTCCATCCAATCCATTGGTTCTGCTGGATTTTCTGCCTCTCTTACTTCAGAGTTTCATGGTCTGTACCTGGAAGGAAGCACACGAGGGGAGCACTTGCTGAAACAGCCCCGTGTTGTTCCCACTTCTCCTTTTTCCCTTTTCCTTGCCAGATCTGCAGCACATCCCACAGGATGAGAGGGTCTCCATGAGCCTGAAGGGAGATCTCTACTTTGCCAACGTGGAGGAAAGCGACAGCAGGAGTGACTATTGCTGCTTTGCAGCCTTCCCCAGGCTCAGGACCATCGTGCAGAAGATGCCGATGACGCTGAAGGTTTCCCGCTGTAAGTTGGGCTGAGCTGTTTGCTGTTGGATTTGGAGCTCCCTGGGCAGCAGTGCATGCAGAGCTGTGCATGCAGAGCTGTGCCCTGGCTCTCTCAAAGGGCACCTCGCTGAGTTTATTTCCTGTGATGTTAACCTCGTTCTCTGGGCTGTGTTCCACTGAGAAGGGAATTCCTGCATTCCTTGCTGTAGCCTCTGCTCTAGGTCACCATCCCGAGGTGTCACTTTCTCCTGTCCCATCTGGGTCTCCAGAACCTGATGCTTTGGAGTGGTGACCTGAAACAGAGGCTGGACAGGATTGAGAGAATAAAATGGGTTTAGTATTATTAAAGGCCTTTGATAGGCACACCTTGGGCACTCAGAGACCTCCCAGGGGCTGCACCCAGGATGGTCACGAGTTTTCCAGACAGTTATAAGTTGGGTCCATTCACATGTCAGGGGTTAATCCTCCAATTCCAGCTGCAGGGAATGAAGTCATTTAGCCCAAGTTTGCTGCCCCCAAGTCCCTTTTGTTTCCATCTCTGGGGCCTGAGGCAGTGAGGTGTCCTTGATTGCGTGAGGTGTCCTTGATTGCCAGGCCTGGAGAGGAATTGCTGTGTCTGCCCAAAGTGGGGAAGCAGCAGCTGGCACTGGGTGTGGAGTTTGGAGTTCTGCACTAAACAACTGCAGGGTTACAAATATGTGAAAATTATAAAAGCTGAAATCCCAAGGCATCACAATCAGACCCCAGAAGTGCCCTCTCCTTCCTCCTGCACAGTGAAAGCCAAGGATGCATTAGGGAAATCTGCTGCTCCTCAGTCCAGCAGGTCCCCCAAGGATGGCACATCCCTGGGTTTTGGGGATTTTGTGGCCACCCCTTTGCTGGGCAAGGCCTGGTTTGGTCCAGCTGCAGAAGAGAGGTTGGAAGGATGATGTTTTCCAGGTTTTTCCAGGCAGGCTGGAGCAGCTTGGAGCATGAGAAATACAAGAATCGTTTCCAGTTCCTTGATGAAATGATGTGTAGGAGATAAAAGATTCCAGTTGTTCATTAAAACCTTGATCTTTTGGGCCTACACAAAAAGCCAGGGAGAATTTTGTCTCCATGAATGAAGCCCTCATGTTTAATACGTGATTTTGAGAGTTTTCTTTTTGGGATATAAAGATAAAGGATTAATAGTGGCTTTGTGTGTTTAATGCTTGCTTAGATTGTATCTTGGGATAATAACTGTGAGAAAAACATCCAAATTAAATGTTGCTCTCCATGGCTTTTCAAGTGGGTTCAGTCCCCCACACATGCACACAGAGATTAGAGAAAAACAAGATGGGTTTTGGCTGCTGGTAGCCCTGGAAGTGGCCCAAAAACCCACTTCAGTGTGTCCACCTTGTCATCAAAGCCACAGGACTTGGGCCAGGAAAAGATGAGAGGCATGAATTGAAAGGGTTCTGTAAATTCAGCTTGACACTGCCCACTCCACTCTGTGCCAAGTGCCTGGTGAGGGACTGCATTAAAAATAAATAGAACAAAAATAAGCAAAAGGAAACAAGAGAATGGATACATTTTATAACATTTCTCTTTGTGGATACTTAGTGATTTTTATTACTGAACACAGCAAGGATGAAATGCAGATTATATCATATCACCCATGAAGTATTTTTCAGCATAACACAAATCTTTAAAGCATTTTCATTGTATTTTCCAAACTCTGTTGCTCATCTGTTGCTTTCTTTTATATTTTTCATTCTTTCTTTCTTTTGGGGCAGGAATGGGGGTGGGTGGGGAGGGGCATGGTTTTGTTTTGTTTGATTTATGGTTTCTTTTGATTCTGTCTCAACCCTGCATGTTTGTTTGGTTGTCATTTTTATTTATTTCAGTAAAGCATGCTAATGACTCAGGCTCACCTAACGCTGCTGTTACTAAGGGTGAGTTGAATGCATCTGTTTTTAGCCTTTAAACTGAGACTCCTCCAGCTAAGGTGAAATGGGAGCTGCTCAGAAACACATCACAAAAGCCTCTTGATTGTGATGGGATGGATTTAACAGGTCCAGGGAGCACAATTGGCTCATCTTGTAGTTTTTGAGAGCAATCTGTAGGGTTTTTAATAAAAAAGGCAGGTTTTTTTCTTACTTGAGAAAGGGGCTTTGTAAGGAGGTGGAAGTGAGGATGTTGATGTTCTGGGTTTCTCATGTTATCAATTCAGGGCAGGAGCCAGATCTGGATGCTCCAAATCTTTTCCTGGCAGTTAAGAGGACTCTGAGATGAGACAGCTGGTTTGACAGCATGAATTCATGTCCCAGGGGTCACCCTGGGGCTGCATTGCTCCAGGATGAGCTCAGGGTGGGGATTTATGGAGTTTGGGTGCCCTGTGGTGGCTGTCCCCATCACCTCAATGTGGCTGGAGGTGGCTCTGTCTCTGTGGTGTCTGTGTCACCAGCACAGGGGACACTGCAGCAAAGCACTTCTCATCCTGTGGATTCCCATCTGCCACTGCTTTCCCTGCCCCTCTCTGGAGCAGATCCTGAGAATCCCCTGCTCTCCTTGCAGGCAGCATGGTCCTATTCCTGCAATCCTCCACCTGGTTCCTTTTGTTTCAAATAGATGAAATTTAGAGTCTGTAGCTCATGACTCTTCATTTCTTTGGTGAACTGGCTTTTAAAAGACTTTTTTTTTGTTTTGTTTTTTTTTTTAATGCCCAATTTAACCTCCTCTTTTTGCCAGACAAGCATGGAGGTTTCTGGAAAGGGGTTTGTCCTGGAGTGTTTTGGGATGGATAACCCAGAGCACTCATCACTCCTCTGACTTTGCCCGTGGAGCTGAGCCCTGGGAGCAGGACAGGCAGGGCTTTGTGCCACTCCACGAGCAGTTCTTCCCTCGAAGGGATGTCTGAACTCGTGCTGGGAAGGGGCTCTGGCTGCCTTTGGCAGCAGGAGGTGGAGGGCAGATGGGAAATGTGTGAGTGTGTCCAGAGGCACCAACGTGCTCTGCTGCAGCTCAGTGACACAGATCTGCAGAGAGACAAGGGGAAATTAAAATTAAAAATGAGAAAATGATTCAGGGAGATCTATGTGGTATTTTACCAAATCATCCATAACTGGCTATTTTTTAAGAACTATCACCATTTGGGGACTGATTCATTAGTGTGCTAATTGTTATGATAGTGATAACTGGACAGCCACTGAATCCTGCATCTTTCATCCTAAAAGCCTCGCTTGGCAGGCTGGAACAAATGGGCTGTTGGAATCAAACACAGGTCAATCTTGTTTTATTATTTTAACAGTCTTCCTTACAAATTTTATCTCCATTACTGTAGATTCAATAATTGGAGCAGGAGGGACAGTTCTGTGGGATGCTCAAGTCAGGAAAAGCTGGGGTTTCACCTGAGGTTTAAAAGATGATGGAGCCAGTGCAGAAGATACTAAGGATATATTATAAGGATATAAATTATTATAAAGATATTTATAAGGATATAAAACTGTAGGAAAAGGGGTTTCCCAGCACTGCTGCCTGTTGATATCACTGCACCTCCCTTCTGACTGTTATCAGGGGACATAAGGGCTCCTGGATTTGTCTCAGAGCGTATAAATAGAAAAGAAAAGGCACAAATCGTTGTCAGGAACCTTCTGGCAGCAGTGATGTTTGTGACATTATTGAAGAATATCCGAGACTTCCCACCTAACTTCTGTTTTATTTTATCTTTCAGCAAATTTTATCAAGGAAAGGAAACCCAAACTGCTGATCCCTCCTGAATCTGCTGGCAGTAGCTCATCAGTCACTGTCATCAAGGGAGGTGTCCTGCTCCTGGAGTGTATTGCTGAAGGGCTGTGAGTAATGAAAATGCTGCACAAACTTAATCACCTTTGGAGGTAGAAATGAGCAAAGAAAAAGGGATATTGCAAATTTTGCAGCAGTTTTAAATGGAGCTCCTGTGCAGAGTTTTTGTCCCTGTAAAGGAGCACAGAGTGCATGCAAGAGTGGTGTACTGGTTATTGCTGTACCTTGTAAACAAGTAATTAAAATCCCAGTGTGGTAAGTATGGAATTATTTTTTATTCTTCTATTAAAAAAAATTGAAGTTTTTTCAGTAGTGCTATTTTTGAGATGTTGAGAAAGTAAATAATATCAGCATCAGCATCAGTGCTTTTGTTCACAACCTCTTACTTTTTTTTCTGGTTTTGCCAATTCAGTTTCGCTTCAATGCCCAAAATTTAAGATTTTCCAGGTGTAAGATCTCACTCTTTTAAAAAAACAAATTTATTGAGTGATGTAACACAAGACATCCTTTAAGGAATGGTTGGGCCATTGAAGGAAAAATCATAATCTCAGTTACAGCAGGAGGTGCAGGCTCAGGTGTGAATGTGAACCTGGCTGTTTTCTGTGCCCATTCCCCAGCATCCAGAATTTCCATAAAGGATCTTCATTCCACAGTGTCCTCACAAATGACAGGATATCGAGGAACAAATCCATGGCTAGTAGGAATGCAGTATCAGCTTTATTTGATCCTACTAGATCCATCAGCAAAGGGCAAACGTCAAACCCGGGACATTTCCAGGGATCCAGGGGCCACAGCTTCCCTGGGCACCCTGTGCCAGGGATTCCTCACCCTCACAGGGAAGAGTTTTTTCCTAAAAAACCTAAATCACCTCTAAACCTTCTCTGTTCAATGCCATTCCCCCTTGTCTTGTCACTCCAAGCTCTTCTAAATGATCTCTCTCCACCTTGCTGGCTGTCTTTGGGTAGTGAAAGGATTAATATAGGGAAGGGTTAAAACAGCTGCTTTATGATGGGAGATCAGGGCAGTTTTGTCCTTGTAAACAACACAGGACAAAATGAGGTTAAGTAAGGAAAGGGACTGGGAAATAAATGTTGAGTGCCACTCTCACAGGGAGCTGTGATTCCCTTCTCAGGCCCATTGCTGCTGCTCCAGCTCACTCAGCCTTTGCTCTCCCAGCTTCCCAGTGTGTCCCATGTGGCTGTCAGTGCAAAAGGAGAACCAGAGAACCTGGGCACCCCCTGAACCCCCAGTGGAAGCAGAGTCCCCTCTGGTTTGGCTGAGACAGAGCAAATCACCGTCCCCTGGTGCTGGATGTGGAGCTGCAGACTCTGCCTCGCACCGAGATTATTCCTGTTAAAGGCTCTGCAATTACGTTCCCTCCATAAAATTCCAAAGTCAGGATATTTATCTGCCTGCACATGTTTAGGGCATTTTGTTTTTCCATATGGGCTTGAAAGGGCATTGCTGGTGGAAGCTGGCAGGGAGTTGAGTTGGCATTCCCGAAGGGAGGTGAATTACTTGTCTCTGTTGGATTCACTCCAGGTATCTGCAGTGAGTTTTGCTTCCCTGTTGCAATGCTTCCTTGTCTAATTCACTCCCCATCAAGCAAATCTGCCAGCCCACAAACCTCCCTAAAGCCACAACTCGGATTTTAGAGGGTTTCCAAGGGGTTTTAATAGGGAAATCACCTGGGGAATACTCAAATATGAATTTTGATGTGCAAGCATGAATATCAGATGCAAAAAGAGAAAGCCAGAAAAGTCTTTCATTCCCTTTGGAAAAAGGTAAAAAGATAAAAATATTTTTGTTTCACTCAAGATTTTCCAGGGCTCTTTAGAAATTTAATTTTTTTGAAGAAAAAGGTTTGTTTTTTTTTTAAGCAGTCATTATTGAAAGAACACAAAGTACTTTGCCTTATAACCAAGCACATCTTTTCATCAGAATCCTTCAAAAATGCAACTTTTAGAACAAAATGGGTTTTTTTCTTTGCTAAAATTCCCATTTTCAGCAGAAAAATGATCAGCTTTGCCTACATCTCTGCCAATCCATCCTGCCAAGTATCCACAGACCATGGAAGCGGATTTCAAGGAACTCGGATCAGGGGCACCCAACTGCAAAATAGGGAATTAAGGACATTTCCAATCTGTCATTTTTTAAAGATTGATGCCCTGAGCAGTGGCAGCGTCAGGAGGGCACGGCCTCGGAGCTGGCTGTGGGACAAGAGTGGGATGAGGAATAATGGGATATTTGCAGGGCTCAGAGCTGGTGGAACACCAGAATTTGTGGCTACCTGGGGCTTTGTGCCTCCTGCCTGGGCACGGAGCCACGGGGCCAGACGGGCCCGGGAGGAAGCAGCTCTGGCACCGTGGCCGTGCGTCCTGTGCGGTGTCGGGGTCACCGACCACGTCTGTCCCCAGTTCTGTGCCACTTCTGGAACCTTCTAAGGGTGGGGACAGCACTTCAGCCACCTCCAAAAACGCAGGCAGGGAGGGAGGCGCTGCAATGGAGCCTGGCCCTCCTTGGCTGTCCTCAGGTGCCCTTTTGGAGAGGATGGAATGAGCTCCGGCCCCTTTCCTGCTGTCCATGCCGAGACACATCCAAGGAATGCAGCCTCATGCTTTCCCCTGCTGAAAATCCCACTCCCAGGGGCTGTGCAGAACAAGGAGCAGTAGAGTAGATGTATAGTATAACCCTTAGGTTTGAAAGGCTCAAAATCCTCTAAAAACCCCTCCCAAAGCCCAGGTGTGAGCTCCAGCAGCTCTGCCACGTGAAACATCACAGCGGCTTCTTGCGTTCAACTCAAAATCTTCTTTTTTTCCCTTTGTTCTCAGCCCAACTCCTCATCTCAGCTGGGTGAAGGTCATGGGAAACACGCCCAAGGATGAGCCAGAGACAGAGAATTTTGGGAAGACCCTGAAGATTGACCAGGTGACAGCAGCTGATGAGGGGACGTACCAGTGCACGGCCAGCAACCCCATGGGCAGCGCCAGTCACAAGTTCCACGTGCATGTGGAAGGTACTCAGTACTCTTTACTAAAATTATTGTTTTGGGACAAAAAGGTGGGAAAAGGGAAGTGAAGGATGCTCTTTGTTGGTATGATTCAGGCAACTCCAGCAATTTATGTCAGCCTCGTGGATTTGGGAAGGTTTGCACAAAGTAGCACCTCTAAAACTACAACAGAAAAAAATATAAATAATGCTTTTGTTTTTCCCCTGAACCGTGAAGGCTTTAAAAATCAGGGAACAATTTAAATGTGTGAGCAGGTTCAGTACTCTAAAGATGGGAGGGAGTCAAGCAGAGATATTGATGAAATGTCTTGTACTGAGCTGAAGGTCAGAAAAAAAATCTAATTATTCTTTTTGCTCTTAAAAGCTGTAGGATGGCTGTACTGGGCTGGATCAGGGGGACATTTAGCTCAAGTCCTTTTCTTTGGTTTCCACCAAAAGTGGGCTCTTAGGGAGGGCTGTGAAAATTCAGTGTGCAGACAAGGTACCACCCCTTGCCTCCTTCTCCTCTTCCTTTGCTGTGATTTTTGTACAGGCACAACCTGAGCTGGGAGTGTTTTCTGTAATCCCTGAAAAGCATCATAAACCCTGTGACACAAAGTAAAAAAGATGCTTTCTGCTATATTTTAGCAGTTAAAAAAATGGAAATATGACCCTTTTTGTCACCTCACTGAGTACCCAAGGCTCCTTTTTCCTTTCTCCTCCCCAACCCTGGGTGTGCAGCAGGTGGAGCTGCCCTTTCCCAGGAGCCAGCAGAGCTCCGAGGAGTCACTGCAGAGCCAAGAACTCTCCCTGCCACTTTCTCTGCCCAAAAATAACCACAAACTGCGAATCCTGAGGCTGAAAAACTTGCTGGAAACATCTGCCTGATGAAAAATGCTCCAACCTCTGCTCTGCACTTAAAGAATAAAATCAATCCCTGGCAGTTTTACGCTGTTAGAATCTTCCAGGTGCTTTATTTTCATCAGGGCTCCTCATCCCTCTGTGGCCACCGGATTTCTGAAGGGAGAAAAGCACTTTGAGCTCCCTGCCCTGTATTTGCTCAGCAGCTGAGGAGAAGATTTTCTCCCAGTGGCTGATGAGTCCTCTCCATTCACTCAACCCAACCTTGTCCCCTGCACTCCTCTTTCCCTCGCTGGAAGTGTGGCAGAGGAGGATCCCAGGGCATGGCAAGTTCTCAGCTGTGGTGGAGGGGAAGTGCTGACTCCTAGAAATCCTTCCAGATGGTTTGGAGCATCTCTGCTGTAGCAGAATATTTTAACAATCTGGCTATGATTTTCTCGGCTGCAAAAAATCGATTTCCTTCAAAGAAATTGCAGGAGCTGCAAAAACTAAAATACCAGAGAAATAACATTAATTTTGTAGTTTAGAATATTGACCTTCTTCTCCCACAGTTTCCACAGGAAGGAAAACTTCCTGCCAAATTGTTATTCCTTCTTAACAAACAAGTGCTTAGAAGAAGAGAAAAGAGGGAAATAATCCCACTGCAGCCATTGCAATGTGAAAAATCCTTTTCCAATTGCTACTAAATCCATTTTCCATGTGTGTAACTGATGGTGGCTCCTGTCAGCAGCAGAGATTCTTCCTATTAGGAGTCACCTCACATCTGAGGTGTGAAGGAAAACCTGAGCCCAAACACTGCTGCAATTCCTGAGCAGCAAATGTCGCTGTTGTTGGCTGGGGATGGACAGGTTCATCGTTCCTGCAGGAGCTCCTGCCAGCACACTCAAGGGCAGATCCTGAGCATTCACTGCAGGAGGCTTCAGGGAGCTCGTGCTGATGTTGGGCTCCTCACACCTGACAGGTTCCTCTCACAGGACGTGTGCAGGGAGAGGAAAATTAAATATGGAAGGAAAATTATCTGTTCTTAACCTCCAGCCATCCTCAGTGGAGTGCTGGGGTGTAAATCAGGGTTTTTCTGTCACTGTGCCATGTTTTCTGTTCTTCTTTCTGGTATTTGAGGACCTCAAACCGACACTCCTCCCTTCTAAATACCAGTTTTAATGATATTTGCATGCAGCCCACTTCCTAATCCTACCGAGTCTGAGGGCAAAGATTCAGGCAATCATTACCAAGCATATGAAAATATTCAGCAAGCAAATTGTTTGACTGTTTGAGCATTTTAATCTCTCTTTGCAAGGGAAGATGTAGCCTGGAATACCTGAGCAGACACAAAATCCCCACTGTTGTTATTCAAATGAGAGAGAATTATTTAAAAAAAAATAGCAAAGCAAGCCCACAAATTGTTTTGACTTCAAGTGTTTATTTGGTTGTTGTTTGTAATTCACCAAACCTGAGAGAAAATGAACATAAAACCTCCAAATCTTGCAGGATCATAATGAGCTAAAGTTACTTTGATCTCAACTGAGGCTCCTAGGTGGGGTTTAATATGAAATAATTGTTACAATATAATGATTAATTATAGTAATAATGTCATAGCTAAGGGCCTTTGCAGTTATGTCTCAGAATACTTTTATTACTCAGCCAGAGCAAAAGAAAATAGATTAAATTAATGGGAAGCAGAACTGGGTGTTTTAATCAGGCTTAAACTTTCTGTTCCACTGGAAAATTGCTCCAAGAGGGACGCAGAGCCCAAGGTGGCGACAGCAGCTGCTGCTGGCCCTGGAGTGGGATGGATTCCCAGCCTTTGGGAAGATGGGAGGAGAATTGGAAGGGAACTTGACAAATTGGGAAAGTGGTGTGGGATAAAAAGGATGGGCTTCAGTAAGCACAAGTGCAGAGCAGTTCTCACCAGGCAGCGCTAATTGGCTTCATCAGCACAGGCTGGGAAATGCCTGGTTGGGTTTTTCAGGAGAATCCACTGGATGGCTAAAGGAACATCACTGGGAAGGGTTAGTCTGGCAGAAAAGGCAAAAGTCATCCTGGAAAAGGAAGAAAAGTGTTGTTGTAAGAGACTGCTGAGAAGTGAGAAGGCTTCACCTAAAGTAAGCAGATTTGCAACTTTACCTCTTTCAGGAAAAGTCAGGAGAAGGCAACAGAGATGGTCACAGAGCTCAAAATCATGGCATTTGAGAAAAAAATAGTATAGATATCTTTAATTCAGGAGAAATTACACCTGGGGAATGCCCAACAGCCTTCAGAAAGGAAATTTCTCCACAAATTTCCTTGGGGGTGATGGAAGACAGGGGAGAGTTAAAGTGCAGCAAGGCAGAAGCTGGTTAGATGTCCCAAATTTGTTCTACTGATGGGAAAACACAGTGAGAGAGGCTGAGGGAAGGTTTGGATCCTTTGTGGGTGTTTTGGATGCTGATGATCCTGCTCTGCTGCAGAAGGATGCAGGAGATGCCCATTTTAGATCATTTTCATTTCTGGATCTCCCAGTATTTCCCATAAAGACAGAAATCAATCAGGAGGAGCAAACTGATAACTCTTACCAGGAAGAATAAATGATGCAGTGAAATATTTGCCATTCCAGATGAACTATTTGACTATCCAACCCCTGGATTTTGTAGCTGCTAAAAAATCTGTGTCTATTTTGTTATATTTTGTATACTTTAAGGGGTATAGCACATCTGCCACGTGGGAAAGAGGTTCTTCAGACTTTCTGTGAAATTGCATTTCACACCTGGCAAAATCTCATTGCCTCTGACTTCACAGCCTCTTCTCTTCCTTGGAGCAGCCACAGCAATTCCAGTGCTGAGAAAGGAAAGCAGTGACATCAAATATCAGCTCACACCTCCAGAGTGTGGGCACAGGTGGGGACAGGAAGGGATCCTTCAGGTCTGTGCCTGGTGTCTCCAAAACAAGGGAATTTCCTTTCTCAGTTTGGGGCAGATTTAGAGGAAAAATTCCAAACCAACAATTTAGTCAGGACTGCTACAAACCTTTTCACCTCCATGCCCTTCACCCATCTTTTCCTGATGAAACCATATGAGAGAGAAGGAAAAAGATCTGCAAAACCAAAATATTCTGTTTGCAGAGTTTTTCCCTGGAGTCAAATACCAAGAAGCTTAACAAACGTGGTCATGTCACTGTGGGATGGGAAGTGGCACTGAGTGGGGATGTTGGTAGAAGAATCTCTGCTGGGTGAAGGATATGGGGTGATTTTATCATTGAAAATAATCTTTAGTGGCTTGAATTTGATTTCAGTCTTTCTATGTTAATTAAAACATTCCTGGGTGCTTTCCTGTGGGAATGCTGGGCTGGGTGTGGAAGTGCATCACACTTTAGGGTGGTTTTTATAAATATCTGTGTGAAGGGGAGCAGTGATCTTCTGCTTTAGCATATCTCACTGATAACATCTGTTGCTGTATTACCAGGCAACAGCTCTGTTAATCTTCAGGGCATTTTATGAGTATTAACTAATGAATCCTCACGTTTTCCCTACATTAGCTCACTTTTTTAATAGCAAAAGAGGCCCCATGATCTCCCCAGCACTTGCAGAAGAGGCAGTGTCAGGTCTGGTGTTAAATCCTCTACGTTTGGTGCCTTTCAAGGGGAAATGATGAATTCAAGGCTGTGTTTTGGGTTGAGGCTGCCCACTGAAGGCTCATGGACCTGTGTTCAGTCAGAATTAAGCATTTATGAGATAAATTCTCTTTTTCTCCCCTTCAGCTCCCCTCCCTCGTTATGGATATCTATTCCTAACAAGGTTTGGGTACCTGATGCTCAGGGCTGTTCTGCAGAGGAGTTTTCCCCAGCACTTCCCTGGAATAGCTGGGAAAGGCGAGCACAGGGAGTGCAGCAGCAGCACACGGCTGCTCCTCTACCACCACCCTGTGGGCACCCAAACCTCTCATCCCTCGTGATGAGAGAATGTTTTACCATTCCTAAACGTGTTGTGGCTCAGCCTCCGGTCTGCAGGATGGATAAACAGGAATTCAGGGTGATGGTGCATTTCCCCAGCACAGGGAGAGGGGCAGGTGGGTCAGTCCTGTCCTGGAGCTCTGTCAGCCCCCAGGAAAGGTGAGGGGAAACACTTGTTCGTACCTAGGGAGGAGGATTCGAGCTGGATGGATATTCACACCTTGTTTGCCTTGCTGAAATAACCTCACCTTAATTCACAGATCACACTCACACCGGAGGGCCATTCCCTCCTTCCCAGCCTCTCCCCTCCCGTGTCCATTCGTTTCCCACCTGGATAAGCGCTGTCCATTCCTCCACCTGCCTGGCTCTCACCAAGCCTGCAGGACAGGATTGCTGTGTGCTGATGCTAATTTTGCCTTTCCTTTGCGCTGGAAGTACAAGGAATGCTGCTGAGCCACGGGATGGGCTGAGAGCTGGGAAGTGTTGGTGGCGTTTGCCATCTCCTGGAGAATCCCAGCAACAGCAGAGGCACTCGCTGGATTTCACACTTTAGGATTTCAGCTTTTCTGTTTCCCATCTCTGTGTAACCCTGCAGTTGTTTAGTGCAGAACTCCAAACTCCACACCCAGTGCCAGCTGCTGCTTCCCCACTTTGGGCAGACACAGCAATTCCTCTCCAGGCCTGGCAATCAAGGACACCTCACTGCCTCAGGCCCCAGAGATGGAAACAAAAGGGACTTGGGGGCAGCAAACTTGGGCTAAATGACTTCATTCCCTGCAGCTGGAATTGGAAAATCAACCCCCAAAATGCAAATGGACCAAACTTATAAAAGTGTAAAACCTGTGACCATTTTTGGGTGCAGGCCCTGGGGGGCTTTGTCTGCCCTAAATGTCCCTGCAGGCCTTCAACGAACAGAACTGCTTTTTATTCCATTAATTCTGCCTGGCCTCTGTTTCTAGGTAGCCCCAAAAGTCCCCAGCTGATCCCTGTTCTGTCTCTTTTTCCCAGAGCCTCCCCAGTGGCTGAAGAAGCCCGAAGGTGGTGTCTACAGCGTGGGGACAAACCTGGTGCTGCTGTGCGAGGCCATCGGGAACCCCGAGCCCAGCATCCAGTGGAAGCTCAATGGGATGCCCATCGATGGTATGGGGTGCTCCTCCAGGCCCTGTCCAGGGGGGCTGTGCCTCTGTCTGAGGGGACCCACAAGTCCTAATGCACTGAGTGATTGTCTGGTTTGGCACCTCTTTAGAAATGAGTTGTTTATTTACTTGAATAAGTGAATATTTAAATAGGATTCTTGAAGAGGATAGTGGTGAACAATTCACATGTGGAACAGCGCTACCTTTCAGGTGCTGCCTCTGCCTCACCTGTAACTCTCCCATCTTTTGGAGATCTGGGACAGCTTCAGGGCTCCTTTGTGCTTCTGCATAAGCTCAAGTGGCTGGGGAGCACTGGTGGAGCAGTATTATTATTATTATTATTATCATCATTTTTAAAGTCTCTGTGGTGAATTTACCAGAATTTGGTGCCCTGGAGCACTTTTCTCAGGACTGCTGGCAAAGGCAGAGCCCTGGAACTCCCCAGCTGTTGGGCAAGGTCGTGGTTGGATCCTCAAGATGTTCTTTCCCTTGGCTTCCAAGCAGTGAGGAGAGCCTGGGAGCTCCCCAGTCATGGTGTTCCTCCTGACACAATCTGGTGTTTTCCAGGCAGGACCTTCCGAGGGAGAATCTCCACCAGGGAGATCAGCCTGACCAACCTGCAGCTGCAGGACAGCGCCGTGTTCCAGTGCGAGGCCACCAACAAGCACGGCACCATCCTGGCCAGCGCCAACGTCAACGTCCTCAGTGAGTCCCCCGGGCTGTCCCCTCCCAGAGATCACATCCAACAACCCCAGGCTGAATCCTCAGAGCAGCCTGGGGCTTGGCAACGTCTCATGGTTCCCTTGGACTGGCCCCAGATTTTAAGAAATATTGTCCAAATTTATGCAACAGGTTTTATCACGGGCAGTGTTATGTGTTTAGCATAGACACTCCTGAGCTTTCAGCTATTTTAAAAACATGGTTGTAGCTGAGCTTAAAAACCTGAGTTCAAACACAGTGAAACCACTGGGGGCTGAACTGTGACCACAACGCTGGTTTTGAATTATTAAGTGTATTTTTAATCTTTGATTTCAGTTGTGATGTTCAGCTTGTTCTTTGAAGAAAGGGAGTGAGGGGAATTTATTTAATAAAAAAACATCTCTGGAGGCAGCAGAACAGGGTCTGTTTTCTCTCCTGGATGTTTCAATTTCTGACATGTCCAGCAGTAAACCCCTGTTATCTCTGTCAGTGAAACTTCTGAGAGCTCAGCTTCTCAGTGCAGCTCTTCCAAAGAGCTGTGAAATTCCCATTAAACACCTCAGCCTCTCCCCTTTGCTGGAAAAGGGGAGGGTGCAGGGCCAATATTTGTATTCCTAGTTGTGCAATGCAGTGCTGCTCACCTTGCATTCTCTCCTGCAGATATTGCCCCCCTGATACTGACCCCGGATGAGGAAAACTACGCCACAGTCGTGGGTTACAGCGCCTTCCTGCACTGTGACATCTTTGCCTCACCTGCAGCAGATGTCAGATGGTAGGATACTGAGAATCAGGGTTTTTTTAATGTGGAACAAGTTCCTGCGGGCTTCTCCAGGTTTGCAGAGTCTGTTAGTTATTATTTCTATGGAATTAAGAACAGAAATCTGTAACAAATCTATATATAATGTACATTTCCTGTGTTTAAATGCTCTTTTAAAATTTCTGAAGAACTGTGTAGGAAAAAAAAGAGTTATTGGAAGTCCCCAATACCTGCTTGAGACAAATGCCAGGCTATACAATAAGCAAAACCACGCTGTTTATAGCCAAATCCTGCTGCAGCTTCATCAGTTTAATGTTGGCAACTCTTCAAGTTTGGACACATTATTGAGGTGGAAACACAGTGATTTACAGGACACATTTACCTGGACATGCTTCCATAGGATTGGAAATCCCAGGATTGTCACAGCAGGTGACAGGTGCAATAAAATTGCAGGTGGCATCTGTAGATTAAAGACAGAGTCTTTTAGAGAACTTTTCCGACTCTGTCCCTGTTGGTTTGGTGTGCAGGACTCTTAATTCCCGTTATGATTTGCTGTGCGTGGATAAAGCGCCTCACTAATCCTGACTTCAATTGCTCAGGGGCAGAGCCGAGTCCCAAAATTCCCCTGCAATAACCCCTAACCATGAACTAACGCTTCTTGCAGTAACCCAGGCCTGTTTTTATCATCTGTAGGACTAAGGATGACAGCATAGAGCCCCTTTCAACATTTCGCTACGAGCTGAACAAGAACGGCACCCTGGAGATCAGGGACACCAAGAAGGAGGATTCGGGATCCTACGCCTGCTGGGCTGCAAATTCCGTGGGGAAAAGAGCAATCACTGCTAATCTGGATATAAGGGGTGAGAAGAGAAAAAAGCTTTCACAGCTGCTAAGATTTTATGTCTCCAGTTTTCAGTCCAGGGTACAGATTTATTCTGTGACTTTAGGGATTATTTGGATATTATGGCCTGAAATTTTCGCATACATATGTGGCCTTTAAAATAGTCCCAACTTTTCAGCTGGATTTCTCCATGCTCACACATGGTTCTCATTTCCTTCTGGATGCTTGCAGAAGCTGCACAAGCCACCAAAAATTTGCATTTGCACATTATCTTGAAAGGATTTTCTCTCTTTTTGTCACTGCCCTGTTACACAGGGCAGGCTCTGGGCTGACCCTTGGGAGCCTTCCCTGTGCTCCTGAGCTTGGTGGGATCCTTATTGATCCAGATGTGTTCCTGCTTCTCCCTCAGTTGTGGGATTCCCTTCCCTAAAATTCCTTCCCATCTGTTGATCAGAAGGCACATCCCAAACTGGATTAACTCCCACAGTGGACACACAGCACCTTGCTGCTGGATGAAGGACTTTGCACTGGGCTTTTGTGTGTTTGTTGATAAATATTTTTAAACAGAGAAAAAAAAAAATCCTCAGATGTGTTTACTTATAAATTTTAGATCCATCCCTTGTTCTGCAGCTCTGTTTTAAGGGATTTGTGTGGTTGGTAGGAGGAGGGGTTTTCCCTGGAAGGGCTGATGGCAGTGGGCAGCTCCTGTTGGGCACACAGCTGACATTTAATGGCTTTTCTACAGATTTACTTAAGATTTAGGGCTTACCAATAAAAAAAACAAAACTTAAATACTCAATTAGCAAAGCTCTCTGATGTAGGTTTGCTGTGACAAAGTTGAGGAATAAGCCCACTCTTTGTGTTCCATTTCCACCCACTCCCTTTGGCTTTGGGAATTTTACAGTGATAATAAACATGAAAATGTACAATGAAATTATCACAGAGCAACATTTCACTGCAGAAATAAATTCAGCTAAGTGCTTTCTTCTTACTTATTCATCTGTTTCTGCATTCAGATTACAGTCAATTAAAAGAACAAACTTGATTGCAATAATTTTTTCTCACTTGACTTTAATAAGCTTGTAATTTTTCTTGGATCATTGCCAAAGCTTATTTCAAATGGCAATTAGACATAAAAATCATATTCAAGCTTTTTTTTTATCATCCATTTCATGACAGGCTTCTAACAAGGATTTTCACCTGTAACCTTTTTTTTTGTGGACTTTTTTTTTTTGTGGATTTTTTTTTTTTTCTGGAGTTCTTTGGTTTGGAGCAAACTAAGAAATGTTTCAAGATAAAAAACGTTTGAAGATAAAAAAAATGTTTCAAGATAAAATGGAATCCTGGCAAATATCTATTTCAAACCCCACCATCCTTCACTTGAAATGTTTGTGTATATAACAGAAAAAAGACATGATTGTTGCTCCTGAGGTTGATTTGTGTAGATGAAGTGCTTGGTGAAAATTTGATGTAATAGCCCCTCTCTCACCTAATCAAAGTGTTTTTCTGTGATCAATCAGATGCTACAAAACTTGTTGTTACTCCAAAGAGCCCCCGAGTGCTGAAATCACATTCCATTTTATTGAAATGTCAGGCTGAGTATGATTCCCACTTGAAACACAGTTTTAAATTATCCTGGAGGAAGGATGGAGATGAGCTGCCAGTCAACAGCACGGAAGGTGGCAGGTGAGTGGGGAAGGAACAAGGCTGTTCTTGATCTCAGCTGGATAATCTGCTGCTGGAGCTGGAGTTTCATTAAACATGAGCCTTTAATAGCTTGAAATGCAAATTTACGTCTGCAAAGAATTCTTCATGTGACACGTGAATAAATCTGCATTTTATGCACATCTAAATAGAAATGCAGCAGTGTGAGTTTTGAGCCAAATGGGTTTGGGTTTATTAACTCTGTTACTGTCATAGCAGGGTACAAAGTTATATATTCATATATATATAATACATATCTGTATTTTATATATAATATAAATGTTGGCCAAACACAACCCTGACCCCAGTGCAGACTGTTTCTCCACTTCAGTGGAACCTGTGTCTTCTTATAGTATACACTTGCTTGGCCAAAACAAAGTCTTTGCAATGCTGAAGTGATGGTAAACAGGTTTCATGGTTTCTGTCATAAATTTTTCTGATGTATGAGTTTAGGATTTGCAGGTTCAGGGGAATTCTGCCCTATTTTTGGTTTTCCATCGATCTCAATGGGCTGGAGCTCAGCCTTTATTCCATAGAGGGGTCCCACAGCAGGCAATCAGATGTCTTTATTAATTACCACAGGAGAGAGATGTTTCCTAAATACTGGAGAGGCTGAAAATCCCACTGAGCCCTGGTAGGATGGTGAGGCAATGCCATGGAAATTCCACGTCTGCCACAGAGCCCATGGCCCTGGATTCTTGGCAGCTTCCCTGGTGCTTTGGACATGACAAAAATGCCTTAGGAATGCTCAGTTTCCCTCAATCTTTCAAAAATTCCATCATAAACCCCATATATTTCTCTCATTAATGACTTGCCAAAATCCTATGTCCCGGGCGCTCATCCAGTGCATCTCAGTGTGGTTCTTTTCAGAGCAGGCTTGACAGGCCACGGGGGCTAAATTGCCACAAAACACAAATAATAGTCCTCAGCACAGTGTAGAGCAGAGCCACAATTACATTTTAATATAACAGGCCCAGTGTGCAGCTATTTAATGAAAATGTCCCGTGCCAAGTTCTTTTATGAACAATTTTTCAGAGAACATCTGTGTGTGTCGTACTCATCTTATGAATTTTTCTCATCCTTATTACCTCTTTTTTGTGGTTTTCTTTTTCTCCCCTGCAGGATAATTCTGGACAGGGATACCCTGTTCATATCCAGTGTGCTCCTGGAGGATCAGGGAGTTTACACATGTGTGGCCAGCACTGCCCTGGACACCGCCAAGGCTGAGGCACAGCTGATTGTTCTGGGTAAGGTCGATTTTCCCAGTGTGGAAACAGCTCCTTGCAGCAGGAATTGCCACTGCAGCACTTCTGCTTCTTTGCTTCTTTTCACTGCGCCTCAATAACTCAATTTCACAGAGCCTCTCACTCCTTAACCTCTGCTGTGCTGTCCCTTATCTCCAGGAGCAGCGATGCTGACACAAACTCGATTTATTTTCATCTTTGGTGTAGCAAGACGAGGCAGAATTTTTGCCTCAGGTCAGTGGCTGCAGGAGCTGCCCAGGCTGGAGGGTGTAAGAGCATACTGATAATGGTTCTACTCCTGCTTTGAAGTCCTTGGCCAGCCCTTCACTTCACTGGAGGTTTGCACAGGAGTTGGACTATTTTTTGAAGGCCACCAGGCCAAGATTTGGATGTGCAGCTCCTTGGAAGATCAGTGGGAGTTAAGCACCTAAAAGGAATAAATTACACCTGTGGACCTGAGCATAAATGACTGTCCAGGGGCAAAGAGCAGAGAAGAGCCTTGACCCCCTGGCTCTGAAGCTTGGCCTTGTGAGAGCATCCTCACAACCTGCATCCCTCCCTGAAGGACCACTCAGAATTAAGAGGATGAACTTTTGGAGAGCTGTGCACCCATTGTTCCCAAGAGCAGCAGCCAGCAGCCAAAATTCTGCTCTGTGGTCACAATTTTGGCCAGCCTGGTCTAGGTGAAGGTGTTCCTGCCCATGGCAGGGGGCTGGAATTAGATAAATCTTTAAGGTTCCTTCCAACCCAAACCGTTCCATGACTTCATGATTCTCTGACAGCTTTGCATCATTTTAATTACATTTATTTTTGTTTCATTTTGCATTTTTATTTATTGCTGGCAGTGATTATAGCAAGAAATAAGTCAATCTGCCCTTCAAGATGTTTTTTCACTTTAAAGGAGTGATATTTTTTAGTAAATAGTAAATTAGGAAGATGCTGTGCACATTATTTATGGTGCTGTGTCCTTCAGTGCTGTATAATTCAAAATGTTTTCAGACTATTCGTTACTTCACTAATGAAAATTTTATAAAGCACTTTGTTCCTTTTAAAAAAGGTGATTTGCAGAAGAAGAAAAACAGTTTTGAGCTATTTTCCCTTGTTTATTGCTCGTGAGAAAGGTCTTGGTGAATTAACAACATCCATTATTTACCAAGTGAAAAATTCAAGTTTTTTGCAATCAAGGACTTGTGGGCTGACTGAAGAACGAAATGGAGACATCAGATTAGGGGCAACTAAAAGTAAAATAAATATTCATTTAGAATAATTCTAAGTATTTGTTGTGTGTTTAGCAAACAGGTTAGAGGGATGAGAATATTTTAGGTGCACCATCACCATCTTTAAATTAATATATTGAATTTTAACCAGCTGTGCTCCAAGGACAGAGCAGCAACATGCCTGTAGATTAAACTGTGCTTTCCTGATTTTTTCCCAGGTACAAGAGAAATAGGGATAGAAGTGCAAAGGAAAGGGAAAAAAAAAATCTGAATATAAACTTTGTAACTTCTTGATGTACCATGAGATGAAACACAGTATTGTAATTTTTAAAACATTAGTACAAACAGAGTGATTTTGTTTTCATAACAACAAAGTCATGGTGGTAGTTTTTCTGTAAGAAATGACAAAATCTGCCAAAAGTTTAGTTGGGACAGCATTAGTTGTGCTGGCAGGTAGTGAATTTCCCAGTTCCCTGTTAATGTTGATCCCCATATATATAATGGGATCGTGAATGCTCTCCTTTCCCTCCCACCCTCAAAGGCCAAGTTCAGTAACTGCCAGGGCTGAGTCACCTTCTCCACCCCGATGTGTCCCGGGGTAAATCCAGGCGATGCTGGCACGCCCAGAGCTGTGTCCATACCCATGGAAGGTTAAGCAGATCTTGGGGTTGATTTGGAAAGAAAAATCTGTTGCTGCAAGCACAGTAATGTGGGTAGAGGGAGATGAATCCCAGAAGGATTTTGTGTTTATAAGGGAAAAATCAACGCCAGGAGATCCGGGGTTTTTCAAAGCAATTCCCACTTTCCACAATCTGTCCATCTTGAAATCAGGAGGTTTTTCACCACCATCTTCACTGATTATGCTGTTCCAACCCTCTGGAAAATGCCAGGACAAACAGAAATACCTTGCTGTGCTACTGACACTTCTTCTTTATTTCCCAGATGTTCCTGACCCACCAGAAGACCTCCAGCTCTCGGAAAACCAAAACCGGAGCGTTCGGCTCTCCTGGAAAGCTGGGGCCAGCCATAACAGCCCTGTTAATGGTAGGGAGGGGTTTCCAGCATAATTTTGTAGGGCTGTTCAGAATTCTGGCATGTCCTGGTTGTCACAGGACACAAACCCTGCTGATGGCCAGGTTTAGTCACTTAACTATGACAGTTCATTTGTTGTAAGTTCATTTCCACCCACGCTGTTCACATTAAGTTGGGGGTTTTTTTAATCTTTTTTTCCCTTTTTTGTCTTTTTTTCCTTCCCAGAATCAATTATAGAGTTTGAAGAGAACCGCTGGGAGCCGGGGAGGTGGCAGGAGCTCAGCAGAGTGCCAGGGAATGACACCACAGCCCTGCTGTCCCTGGCCCCCTATGTGAATTACCAGTTCCGTGTGGTGTCCGTCAACGCCGTGGGCAGGAGCCAGCCCAGCAAACCATCCCTGCGCTATGCCACCCCTCCAGCTGGTAAACCTGACTCTGGTTTCCTAAATATTCATATTTTCAGTGTTTTTTTTAGAATATCTGTGCCCTCCCGTGCTCCAGAGGGTGTGAAGAAATCAGGGTCTCTTGCACTGCTCAGTGGCAGCCTCAGGGATTATTAAAAATAGGTCCTGTGATGGGAATTACCCCCAGCTGGTTCAGTGGAACTGGAATAACCCTCAGTAATTTTGGTGGGCCAGGTGACCATTTGAATTGACTGTATTAATTAAAGCAGTGCATTTTCAGAGAGGTAGAGTCAGCTGGAGGATGTCCTGTGACAAGCCATATTCCAATATTTTAGATATGAATGAGATGGGAACCCTGCTGGGATGAATTCTTTAGTGATTGGTAAAAAAGAGCAGCCCAGCAGTTGCACATCAAATGTCCAGGCATTGTTAAAAGCATTTGATGTGCAGCTAGAACAAATCTAAATTTTAATGACCCAACTTGCTGCGCTGTATAAAATTCCTAAGGATGCCAAAGGGAGGAGTCCACACTGCTGGGATTTCCTACACCTCCAGCACCTCACTCTGCTGATTTTCCACCCTTTGCAGACCTTCATGGACAAACAGTTCCTGGAGAAGGGCTGGGTTTACAGGGAGCCTTTCAGGAGCGCTAAGCTTGTCAAAAAAATCTCCATTTACAGAGCATTCAGTGGGGCAGAAAATGTTGTCTCCCCAAAAGTCATTTTAGAGGCCAACTGTTCAGCACAGCATTTGCATTCCTTGGCATTTTCACTCTTTTTTTCCCCGTTTACACCAATTTCAGGTCCTTTTTCAGCTTTCCAGCTGAATATGTCTGATATGAATATGCCTATATGTCTAATGATGTCCCTTCTGTTTGCTATCCCCACAGGGAGAAAAATCTCTTCCTCACAATCCCCCCACATCTGGTGCTTTCAAATCCAAAAGTCACAGCTCTGTGTTAGCTGGTGGCTCCAACCAAGAGGGGCACTTAGGAATCCAAACTGCATAAACGACGTGTTTGGGTCCCATCACTTTTGTTTAAGTGTCTGTCACTAGTAGGGGAATTTCCCATCCTTTTTTGGCACTTAAATGCTAATTGTAAATAAATGGGGTGTGCAAACTGACCTTGTCACCTGTGTGGTTTCAGCTCCAGATAAAAACCCAGAGAACATCCGAGTTGAAGCTTCTGAACCCAATGAAATGGTGATGAAATGGGAGGTAAGGCAAGATTAGCAAATCCTATAGGAACGATCCTTTATTCTTCTGAAAGCTGAATTTGACTTAAATGTATTCTGGATTTTCAACCCCAGTGTCATTTTTGGTTCAAAAGACTGTATTTTATGTCCAGCTTCACAAGATATTAAAAAAATATGGAACTTCTGTAAAGCATAGTAAGAATTCATCAAAATTTGCTCTTCTCTGCTTCTTGTATGCAAGAAACTGTTTCAAATTATTATGGTCTTACCCTTCTCTGCAATTAAAATTACCAGCCAGGCCCAGGGAAGGGATGGGTGGCTCATGGCATCTGCCCTTCCAGCCTGGAAGTTTAAAAACGCCACAGATCCCTTGCCCAAGAGAATGTGAGCTTGAATTTTTACACCAAGAACTAAAGGAATGTGGATAAACCTCCAAAGCCTGTGATGTGCATCAAAGGAATTATGTAAAAGTCTTGAGGATGGTTTTCAGACTTCAAATTTCCTGGGTTTTAAGCCTGAGCTTCTGTGCCAGCAGTTGAGTTATGTGTTCCTTCATTTAGCACAAATATCCACAACTGTGGAAGGAAGCAGGTTTTTGTTGAGGCTGGAATTGCACACAGTTTGCATGAGATTTACTCCTCAATCTGCTGCTCCCAACGAAGAGCGACAAATGTTTCCCCAGTGGGAAGTCATGGTTTGGGGTATAATTGCATCCAAAAGGAGATGGCCCTCAATATCCATGGACTTGGATTGGAATGGGATTTTTAGCCCAGGGTTAGGGGAGAAAACTGCCTCTCAGAAAAGATTGGATTTGATCTTGGATGTCTTTTTCAAGTTTAATGAATCAATGAAATGCAGAGTTTTAGTACCCAGTGTGTCTATTTGGAAATACTGGGATGGCAAACACATCTTTGAGCACCAGAAACTTCACAATCACTGCTCAGACAGGGCAAAAGTGGAAGTGAAAGCTGAGCCTGAAAAGAGAGAATGGGATGGAAAGGCTTGGTTAAATCTTGTTGAATCATTAAAATGTTGTTAAACAGGATATTCATTTATTTATGGCATTTCCTGTGTGCTTTTCAGAGGAACTGCTGGGCACTGCACAATCTATTTCTGACAGACAAAGGCTGCAGAATGATGTTAATCTGCCTATTTTGGATTAAGAGACCAGCTGAGCTTTAGTGACTGGGATCTTTAGCCAAGGATTTGCAGCTTTAAGGAAGATCAAAATAACAGTCAAGTGGTGCTGTGATTTAACTATATACAAGAAATCATATTTTTAGGAGGAATTTTTTACTTCTTCAGCTTTCCTTGCAAATCCCATTCCCAGGGATCTTTGCCACAGAGGTGGTGCCTGTGAGAAAGGTGCCCAAAGGTCCTCACAACAGAGGAGCTCAGTGGGGATTTCTGCAGGTCCCCCAAATTTAGGTCTCCCCGTGCATAAGGAACATCAAAGGGAAATCACTTTTTTCTGGTATTTGATGCTATTTCCTGTCAGACCTCTTAGATACAAATCAGCTACAATATCTTTCATATTTGCCTATACTTAAATATTATTAAAAGCAGCGTGTATGGTAGGAAACACCCGCAGCTGTTTCAGTGTGTACCATTTTTGGTAGGGTAGGTGATTATTTAACTTTCTTAATTAAAGTAGTGCATTTTCAGAGAAATAAATTCAACTTGAGGATGTATGACAAGCTACTGCTATACATTTCCTAATATTTTATAATTTCATGTTAATTAGCTGGAAACCCTACTTGGATGAATTCTCCAGCTGACTGGTAAAAGCAGAGTGGCCCAGCAGTTGCAAATTAAATGTCCAGGCGTAATTTCAAGCATTTGGTGTGCTAGTTAGAACAAATCTAAATTTTAATGACCCAACTTACTGTGCTACATAAAATTCTAAGATAAAATGCAAATTTTATCTCTGCTAAAAGGCTCACACAGCCTTATGCCAAACTGCAGTTCAGTTGTGCTGAAGGCGTGGGGTTTTACCTCACACAGGAAAACCTGTGGCAAAACAAAACCTGATGTGTGTAGGAGGCAGAAATACGGCTCCTAGCAATTAATCTGGATTTTAATCCAAGTCTTTCACCCTTCTTTCTCTTGAAGTCATGATGTTCTTGTTCCAATCATCCTCAAATTCAAATGACAGCAAAAAGCTTGGGGTTTTCACCCCTTTTCTCTCCCAGTGCTGTAACACACATTCCAAAATTACTTCCCCTCCCCTCAGCTGCTGTTTTGTGATTACAACAAAGGTGGACAAGATCTCTTTTAACTTTTCCCCAGCCACTGAAGCCCGTGGAGAGGAACGGGCCGGGGCTGGAGTACAAAGTCAGCTGGAGGCAGCGGGGTGTGGAGACCGACTGGAACGAGGAGCTGGTGAAGAAACACTCCCTGAGCGTGCGGAACGTGCCCACCTTCGTGCCTTACGAGATCAAAGTCCAGGCAGTGAATCATTTAGGATCTGGCCCCGAACCAAACGTCACCATTGGATATTCAGGAGAGGACGGTGAGTGGCAGGAACTTGCCTGTAAAAACGGGGGCTTCTTGTGCTGCAGAACACTGGGGTGTGGAGTGATGGATTAGGCAGCCCAGAGCTGCTGGAATTCCAGTGCTCAGCCTGATGGGCTCCATGAGGCATGGGCAAACCCGTGCTGGGTGCCAGCCTGCTGGAGTGTGAGGGGTTTTTTTGGAAAGGTCGCTTGTGCTCTCATTAATCTCACTTGTTGGCTTAGTCTGGGTACTTGTTTGAAGGCCACACTCCATGAGAAGTCTCTGAAGTGTAGCAGTCGTGTTGTACTCGGTCGGAGAAAAATCTTTGGGTTCTCTGAGGCTTGACCCAACAGTTTAAGGGTGTCAGAAGTTAAATACTTGGACAATTAGGGACAAACTGGCAGGCACTGGGTGTTTGAGTGAATTTACAGACAATGCCACTTTCCCCCTACGTGTGCTGGTGTTACCTTGTGAGTCCCCAAAGAATGTGCCATCTTCTCCAGCCTGGCTTTCTGCCCCATGGTTCTCCATGGCTGCCAGGCGGAGTTTCAGGGCTGGAAATGGACTCAGTGGTGGTCAGACAGGAGAATCCCCACTGCCCACCCAGAGGTGGGAACAGGAAGGTCTGGTGGTGCAGAAGAGGTGGTGAATAGCATAAACGAGAAGAAAGAAACTCCACAGCATGTTTATTTTCTTTGTCTCTCTGTGATGAGTCTAATTTTACATCTACCACTGGAAAATCTTCCTTGCAATTCAGTCGTCAATGGATCAAGGCCTCCTTTTTTTCAGGCACTGTAATAGCTCTCTGTGTTATGCAGTGATTAAAACCCTACTGTTTAATGAGCTTAGTTGTAAAATGAAATTGATTATAAAAAAAACCTTTATGATTGCCTTCTTGAGTGCCGTGTTAATCATTTTTTTTATTCTTCTCACTGCTGTAAGCATTGCTTGAAACAGGAAATCATAAATACTGGTGTAGAAATTCATGTGTCCCAGTGCACACGTATCCCAACCCTCAGCAGAAAAATACAGGAAAATAATATTTATTGGCCCATTCCATCCACTGGATGCAGGTGGAATGGCTTTGTGCTTGCCTGCGGTGAGACTGCATGGAGTGGCACAGCTGGAGCCGGAAAGCCAAGCCTGGAGCTGTGAACATTGTGAATCTGGGCTCTTGGAAGTGTTTTTAACACCTGGGACTTTTGTTTTTACAGTTCCAGATGCTGCTCCTTCGGGCGTGTCGGTGGAGGTTGTGAACAGCACCCTGGTGAAAGTCTTCTGGTTTGGGATACCAAGGGACAGAGTTCGTGGGCACTTAAAAGGCTACAAGGTTACAAAATTCTCTATAAATATTTGTATGTAGTTGAATAAATTATTAAATGAGTCCCAGATTGCAATCTCTCATGTGTGGGAAGGTGAGAGAGATCATGATCATGCTCATCCCCATACAATATAAATTGTTTTAGAAATCCCAATCTCCTCGCAGGTCAACTGGTGGAAAACAAAAAACATGCTGGATGGAAAGAGGCATCACCCAGAGAAACACTTCCTGACATTTGTAGGAGACAGGAACTATGGGATGATTCCTGGCCTGGAGCCCTTCAGTGAATTCCGCTTGACAGTTCTGGCTTTCAACTCCAGAGGAGATGGCCCTGAGAGCTCCCCCGTGGTGTTTGAAACTCCAGAAGGAGGTAAGACAAGAGGAAAATATGGGATGGAGGGACATAAATTGAAATTGTCCTTGGGACAAGGCGAGCTGATTCCCTTACTTGAGGTAATAGTGAAAACTCCACTGTTCATAGAACCCTTCACTTGAAAGGGGAGCTGTGGGTGTTGAGATAAATTATAACCTCATTTAACAAGGATTTGTAGGGACCTGCTCACTCTCCTCTGAGATCTCACCCCTGTGTCTTCCAGTCCCTGAACAACCACGTTTCCTCAGGATCCTGAACTTTGACAAGGACTCGGTCACTCTGTCCTGGGGGCTTCCCAAGAAAGCCAATGGCCACCTGACAGGCTACGTCCTGCAGTACCAGATAAGTATGTGTCTGGTTTGCTTTGGGTGCAGAATTGAGGCAGGATTAGTTAAGGAAACTCCCAGGTGTGATGTGCACAGAGGCTGCCAGAGGGCAGGCTGCAGTCAGCTCCCAGAGCTGGAAGTTTTCCATGCACTTTTTCCCATGGAAGCTCCCGTTGCTGCCATTCCCCATCCCACATTTATTGGCTGATTGAATTATTTCATAATTTCACCTAATGTAGTGGTTAAAAAGACCCATAAATTGTAGATGTCTTTTACTGGGGTGAAACTCATTTAATACAAAGTGAATTGTGATGAGAGCACTCTATGAAACCCCATTAATGTAGAGCTGCACATTATGTCAGGGAGCTTCTCCCCACTAAGATGCCTCAGCAGCAACACAAAGAACCACCAGAGACGTGGTGTAGAGTAACCACACTGAAAGCAACCAAATTCCAGGGGATTTCTTTCTTTCTTGCCTAGGAAAGAAATGAGAAACAAAGACAACCTCAGGCAAGACCCAGTACTTAGCCCAGACTGCCACACCACCAGTTGTGTGGTGATAATGCAGTGTATTTTGTGCTCTTTGAGGGTGGAAAAGGAAACAAAAATCCCCAATGTACTTTACACTTCTCTGCTGATAGCAGAACTGCTCAGATGCCTTTGCCAACAGGCTGGTGTCTGGATCTTCCTTTGGTCATGCTGATTAAGTGCAGAGAGTGGATCTATTTGCAAAATCCCAGACTGGTTCAGTTTGGAAGGGACCACAGAGTCATCTCGATCATCCCACAGCTCAGGAGTGTGTCCAGATGGCTCTGGGATGTCCCCAGTGAGGGAGAGACTGCAGCCTCTATGGTCTCTGCTCCAGTGCTCAGTCACTGCACAGGGAAGCTTTTCCTCGTGTCCAGGTGGAATTTCTGGGCATCAGTTCCCTCCCAGTACTGGGCACCACCAAGCACAGCCTGGTCCATATTCTGACACCTCCCTTCAGATATTTCTAGATATTTTTAAGATCCTTTCTCCATTTTCTTACAATCCCTCCTCAGCTGCCAGCTCTGAGCAGCCAGAGCAGCTCACAGCCCACCAACCGCCCTCTAAGCTGCCAGTAGAAGTTCGCAGATGTTTGGAAGCAAAGCAAGGAGCCATTCATAGATATTTAATGATGATGGGGACAATCATTCTTCCCTCCCACTCAGGCTGTGCATATGTACACTCAGAGAGCTTCCCAAGAGCAGTGATAGCTCACCGAGCCGCTGGGAGATGGGCACAGATGACATCAATCCCACTTAACCCCGGCAGGAAGGGCCCACAGCCTTCCTCCTCCCCTCTCCCAGCCGAGTTCTCCCTCCTGGGGGTGCTCAGGACACATTTCCGTGGCTCTGACCGAGGTGCTCTTCCCTTGCAGTCAACGAGACGCAGGAGGTGGGCGCCGTGAGCGAGGTGAGCGTCACCAACCGCTCGGTGCTGAGCTGGCGCCTGGCGGGGCTCAGCCCCAGCACCAAGTACAAGTTCTACATCAAAGCCTGCACGGCCAAGGGCTGCGGGAAGGCGGCCACCGAGGAGGGGCTGACGCTGGCCCAAGGCAGTAAGTTCACAAAGTCCTGTTTGGTGAGGAGGAGCTCTAAGGATAGCGGGGAAATGCTGGTAAAACCTTCCCCTTGTAAAATCACGGCTCGGGCCTGGGACTCAGCAGGAAAGGAGCATGGGAAAGTGACTCAGCTGAGTTGGAGGTGGGAAAACAAGTTGTAGAACCGTGACGTGCTCACATGGTGGTTTATGGTGGTTGGTTGAATTATATTTGTTATACTTCAGTGGAATGTAACTGAAAATGGGCTAACTGCTTCAAAAGGCCTGGGTTTTGCCATAAAGAGCTCTCCTTTGCACCTGCCTGGGGACTCTGCATTACTCTGCTTCGTAACAGGAGAATCCATCAGGAATACTCCAGGCTTGACGTTTCCTTCGTAATTAAGGGATATAAGTTTGTTTTCCTTGCCATGAGAGCAGTCAATGGACTTTTTAATGTGGCCATGGTGTTCTTCAGGGAAGCAGAGCTCATCTGTTTCATTTTGCTGTGCAATCCTGTTTCTGTTCCCATCCTTAAACCATGCTGGAACAAGTGAATTGCATTCAGGCACGAACAGAAAATTGAAGATGCAGATAATCTGTTCTCAGTAATATTATAAAAACAAATTCTGCCCGTGCATGAAGATGGGGGACTGCCAGCAACATTAGGGTCAGCTGTTTGACATGGAAAATCCAGATAAACATCGAGCTGACTGCATTTGCTCCATTATTTATGATTATTTTATCAGAGACCAGGAGTGAGCATTCGTGTGCCACTTACACCCTGTGCTGAAACACTGATGTTCAGTGGTTTAAAAGAAAATCCCCAGCATTCTATGATAGCTCATCTTTCACTTTCAGCTGAAATGAAATAAAATGTACTGTGCTCAGCAAGTCTGAGAACTCCACAGTACTGAGGAGCAGCTCCTCGCTATTAATCAGAAACCATTTCCGTGCACTTACCCCGGGGAAGGAGAAACAGAATGTGATAAGCAAAAGAGTCCTGGCTGCATCATTTTTAGCAAAGATAACAGTCTGCAGCAATGTTGATGTAAAACAGAAAAATGGCCCATGTGCTGTTGGACTTCTAAGTTGCAGAATTCTTTTCAGTTACTGGTAAAACAGGTAAAAAGTGTTTTAAACCTTGAAGTCCCAGATCCAGTCAGGAGCTGCCATTTGTTTTCCCAAAACTCCTTCACAGCTTTCTTTTGGCCCCCCAGTCTCCCTGTAGGATACAGGTACTCACCTGGTAACAACTATTAATCACTGTCATTTAAAATTTATTCCTCATTATGAAAAATCTTTTTTTTTTTTTTCTTTTTTTCCCAATATAAAAATACCCCATTTCCTTTCATTAGTTGCCTTTTCTGGCCTTCATTGGGCAACCAGAAAAATGTGTTTTGAGTCTTTGAAATAACCTTGTCACTGTTTAGAGATGTTTGCATTCATTTTGTGCTCATTCCCTACTTTCCTAAGCTCTGTTTCAGCAGTGGCAACACCTGATTCTTGTGAAATATTCTTAGGCTAGAGTAGTGTAATTAATGAAAGCTGCAAGGGTTCAGTTCTATGATTTATGTCTGCTCCTTGCTGCTTCTCAAGCCACCCTAAATTAGGGCACTGCATCTGTCACTGAGATGCCATTGGAGTTCTGTGTCATTATTTGCTGGCTAAATTGTTCAGATATTTTTCACCTAAATATGATAGGCTGAAAAAAAAAAAAAAAGAAAAAAAAATCACTCTTTTCTGTGACCTCCTTGGGGTTTTAAGCTGTGGTTTGGGGAGCGAGGCAATTGCTCAAAATTAAAACAATCTCTCTTTTTGAAGGAGGGGAGTGATTTCAGAAGTCAAAGTTTATCATTTCAAATGACCCACGTAAATGACAGATATAAAATGTGGTGCCCTCTGAAATGAAACTCCGTGATGGAGCACTCCACGTTTCTTTGGGGGTTGATTCAGTGATTCTATAACCACTCTGTTCCAGTTTAATAATAAACCCATAAAGCTCTTGTTCATTTAAGGCTTTGGAAACTTCCACTGCTGCAATTCAGCCTTTGCCATGGGTATTTCAGAATTTCACAATGCAATCTGCCAGGAAAGTGGAGATGTTGAGGTGGCAACTCTGGATTCATTCATTTTATTTTTTTTACTTGATCTCCATCACTGCTGTTGCTTTAATTTATTTGCAGTTATCCCTCCTACTGTTGTCTGCAAATGGAAAGAAGAGGGAATTTCCTTATTTAATATGTGTGAGGATTTGTGTAACACCACTGAAAACAAATCTGTACAGGGAAAGTAACTCAGATATGAAAACACCGATAGGCAACCTAAGATTTTTATCATTTCTTGATAAAATAAGCCTTGAACCTGAGTAAAAGGGAATTTGGATTGCATTGCAAAATAAATAATAGCTTAATTTCTGTGGTTTCATCTTGGTTTCATTCCACAGAAAAAGGTATGTTGTCCTTAGAAAAAGACTATAATCTCTGTCTTCATATTTTCAGGCAGTGCATCTTAAATGACCTCCAAACTAATTAATTTTCCCCTTGAAAATGTCAATTTCCCCAAGATCATTAGCCCTCAGAAACATAACACAAAATAACATTCTTCCAGAAGTGAAAAGATTAATTTAATGTAGCAGCCCTTCTTTAACACAAAGCTCCTTTTCATCTTGTCACCAGTGTTGCTCGGGGATTACCAAACACATATTACAAGTTGAGAATTATCATTGTGTGTCCAGAAATCCAAGCATTAATGAGAAATTCATCCACATGAAGCCACACAGTTGCAGTTTTATTCTCCAGAGAGGCCAGGAAATAAAAGTTCACCAGTTTCATTATATTCCAGTGGCTGTTGGCACGTAATTCCCAAAGGATTTTGGAAAATCTTAGACAGAGGGTCCTATCCTTCAGGACCAGAGTAACCATTTGGAACAAGGCTTGTGGGTTTAGCTCTCTTTTGCCACAGGCACAGTGGAAAAGGAATAATAAAATAATTTTTCCTGTATGTAACCACTGCTGCTGTTAGCAGCAAACCCTTTTTGCTCACAACCAAGGAAATCTTAATAAAATTAGTGAAAATTTCTTGAACATTTCCTTGCCTATAAATTTTTTCCTAATAAACTTTATATGCAACAGGTTTGCTAATCTCTGTAGTCTAAAATAATCCAAATTTAACATGAATTACCACCTTCACTGAAAAGCCCTGAAAATGAAGAATAACTTCTGCTGCATATTTATACATTTTTAATAGCCAGGCAGCAGGGGAAAATTAATGGAAGTTCAACTTTGCATTTATTGCAGCAGATGTATTTAGACAGGTATGGTTATAAATTAAGATGCTCCCCACAATTAGTATTTAGCTCTCCAGACTGACAGGGTTTTTTTTTTAATATAAATATATTTTATAACAGATGTGCTAACTTTTGGAGAACACTCTGGAAAATCTTTGGGGGTGGTTTCTATTGTTTTTCCCTTTATACCATAAGCTTCTATAAAAAATGTGTGTTCTGTTCTACTCATAAATCTTGGAGCCCGGTAGGAATATTGTAAAATTGCAGTTCAGTGTTTAATGTTCATGCAAGTCCCCTGGTGTGGCTGATAAATAGTGGGGGAAGATGAGAAGTGCTGGTGATATGCCTTTATTACTAATGCTCCTTCTCCCTTATTGGAGATTAAAAACCCGACCCAACTGCTTTCAATTTTCTGCAGCTAATTCCTGCAGCTTTCAGGATGTTCCTGGCCCTCCAGAATGTGCAGCTTTGCCTTATCTGTGTATCTTTGCTTTTATTTTCCAGGAGACCACACTGATTTTTCTACTCCAGCCACCAAACCCACCCCCTTTAGCAAAACTTTCTCCTCTGTAGGGCCCTTGGTGTCTGTGTCACACACACCAGGATGAAATGGCACAGAAAGAAAACTCATAATCCCCCAGCACTGGACACCTGTTCTGAGTTTTAAAGGAAAAAAAGAGTATTTTGGGATAGGAGATGATAAAGGAAGATCTGTTGGTAAATCCCCAGTGCCAGGTTAGGCTGGGCTCATCCTCATCCCAGGATGTCCATCCCAGCCCTGAGCTGCTCCATGTGCCAGGGCAGTGGCAGCTGCAGCATCAGACAGAGCTGAGCAATGAATGGGCAGAAAAAGGGATTTTTTTCAGCCATCTCATTTCCCTCTTTCTGCTTCTCTAAAGAGCTGATGGTTCAGAAAGAGGTTGCCACAAGCTGGGAATACATGGGGGCAGAGAGGTAAAGCTGGTTTAGGAATATGCACCACAAACCACCTGGCAGGAGCTCAAGGTTTAGGATTTTCTTCCCAGGAATTCAGGAGAAATCCTTCCTTAGGAAGCTGGTGTGTGAACACTTTGGATCATGTAGTTATCACATCATGCTCGAGCATTACGTGGAATTTAACAGATGTTGGGTTGAAGGCTCATGTTCATTCCTGTTCCTTTATGGATAATATTCCCAATTTTTCTGATGCCTTGATTTTAAAACATGTAATTAAAATGTACCTGTGGTGTCCTGTTGCTTAATTTGCAGTTTGATTAGAAACTATAGCTGGGTTTCGCATACTTCATTTAGCAAAAAATTACTGATAGATGGATTAATTTATGCTAATGAGTTGTGCCTCAGTATCAGCAGTGTTTCAGTGGGTGTGTTCTCTCTGGTCCCTGTGGTCTGCTCATTTAACTGCTTTTTGTAATACACAGAGAATTGCCTTGAAAAACTTACCCTGAACTGCTGCTTTGATTGTGCTTGGATTTATCTTAATCTGTTTTTTTTCTCTTTTTTTCCCTTCAGCTGCCAACTCAGCCTTAATCTCCAGCAGCTTCTTGCTTTGCTTATTTACTAGTTGAAGTATTAATGAGCATTGTTGCCGTCGGTGCTAATTGCCCGAGTAGTTTTCAGATCATACTTTGTGCTCAAGCCTTAGTTTAGATGGCTTTGGACAAAACAGGCAAATCAGGCAACTGAAAACAATTCAGGAATTTTTTTTATTAAGTGCATCCCCCCTCAAATTTCTCTCCTGCCATTGAGGACAGGGACACTCCCGTGTTTTAAGAGATCTCTCCACGGAGTTGTGAATTTGCTGAGCAGGCTGTTCACGTCCAGGCAGTGATTGTCAACTGCTTTCCACAAAAGCTGTTCTGAAAAATCTTATTTAATGGCCACAGTCTGAATTCAGATGGGGTTACAGGAGGCATTCTGCAACAAACAAGGTTCCATAACCAGGACTACTGAAATTCACCTTCTCCTAATCAAATATTAAACTCATCATCAACGCTTAAATGCCTGAATATCCATTTACAGGCAAATTGTTGTTTCTAAACCAGTGCTTTGTGCGGGCCTTGTGGAATTTAAAAGGACACAGAAAATCACTGTCAGGAGAGAAGCAAGCACAAATCCCCCTGTTAATTTTTTTTCTGGGAGACATATAAGAATCCATATCCAGCTAACAAGCTGTCTGTGCTTCCCTGCTGAGTTCAGTTCAATGGCAGAAGCATCAAACCCCAGATTATCCATACAAAGCAAGCCCGTTTGCAAGTTGTAATTTTTTAAGCACGCATTAGTTAAAGCAGATCCATAATCCCCCATCAATATTAACTTTCATCTTGGGAGATGAACAAACCCCTTCCTAAACATCAGGATTACTCCAGTCTGCTGTTGATTTCATCTGACAGAACGTTAAAAACCAAAGGGAGGGAATGTTTGGGGGTAGTTTTTTTACTTTGGAAACTCAGATTGCCTGATGCCAAATGTTTAGAATCACGTGTTGTATTTGTCTGTTATTTCTAACTGTGCATTTCCTAGGCTTTTTGTCCATGAATGCCATTAATCCCTGTGCCTTGGATGTGTGCATTCCCTAGGTAAAGGCAGCGGCAGGATTTCAGACGCAGTAAAGCCCACCCCAAAGTTTCAGCCCAGCGAGGCCCTTGAGCCTGGCACTGAGTACACAATCCGCCTAGTGACTAAGAACTGGGTGGATAACAATAGCATTTTTGAAGATGTAATTGAGACCAGGGGGAGAGGTGAGACCCGAAGCCCTTCGAGGTGCTGAACGTTTGTTTTTCCATGTGGCTCGATGCCGAGGCTCCATCCTGTGCAGTGCGAGTGTCCCGAGCTCATCGTTCCTTGCAGTTGAATCCCATGGCAGCACAAACACATCCCAGGTTCTTGGCTGAGCCCTTTGCTTTACAACAGCCTGGAGCAATCCCAAAACCTTTACAAACCCGTGCAACGTGAGAGGGCAGCTGTGATAAAACCCATAAGCGGCCAGCTTGGTGATTTGCGTGTACTGGGGGCACTTTTACCTCTCTCTCTCTTTCGCAAAACTGCTTTGGCATGAGAGGCTTAACAGCTCTGTGCTCAGCTTTCCTGTGTGGTGCTAATCCTGTGAGTCAACTGCTCTCTCAGAGCCACCTTGCCAAGTGTCTGTGTTGTCCCTTGTCACCCCCACGCTCCCCTCCAGTCCCAAATGTCCCACTCTGGACGCATTCCTGCCTCACCCTGAACACCATCAGTAGTGATAGACCGATTCCATTAAGATCAGAGAGGAACGTGATGTGTTTGTGTTATTGGGGGGGTGCTGCCCTTTCCCTCTGATTAATTTTCTCCCTTTCTCCCCCTCTCCCATCTCCCCAAGCCTACGCTGGCATTTACGAGGGGATTTCCACCCAGGGCTGGTTCATCGGGCTGATGTGCGCCATCGCCTTGCTCACCCTGCTGCTGCTAACGATCTGCTTTGTCAGAAGAAATAAAGGAGGCAAATATTCAGGTAAATGGATTTATTATCCTTTCCCCACGTTCATGTGTTAATAACTAACATCCTTCAGAGGTTTCTCTCTGGGGGCCGCAAGGCCGCGAGCACAAACATCCAATTAGGAATTGTGGCTTTAGATGAATATCCACGGAAGGGATTTTAATGAATGTAAGTGGAGCTGTGCTGTGTGCTGGCCACAGAGCCTGCAAAGGCCTTTCCCAGCACTCCTGGAATATTCCAGCATTTAATCCAGCAAGATCCTTGCTGGCAGGACTCCCTTCCCACTTTCCACCTGGGAACTGCTGCTGGACACGTGGACAGAATTTCCACGGGCAGCTTAACAGTGGAATATTTGGTTAAAAATTACCTCTGTCATTTCCCAAGCAGTGAGTAGGGATTTAGGAAAATTATTGGAGTAGAAATCTGGTTGCCCAAAGAGGTGGTGGATGCTCCATCTCTGAAAACATTCAGTGCCAGGCTGGACAGGGCTTGGAACAACCTGGGACAGTGGGAGGTGTCCCTGCTATGGCAGGGGTGGCACTGGATGAGCTTTAAGGTCCCTCCCAACCCAAATCCTTCCATGATTCTATAAATACCTGCTTATAATCTATTAGGGAATGGTCCCAAATGACTGGAAGCTCCCAGGCTGTGTCCAGCCAGCTCCAGGCCAGGCTGGAGGTGATTGCAGATGGTTTTCCCATTGCCCCTGGGAAAAGAAAAATCCATGGCAGAACACAACACAGAGATCTGTCCTTTATTTTATTTGCACAGTGAAAGAAAAAGAAGATTTGCATCCAGATCCCGAAGCTCAATCAATAAAAGATGAAATCTTTGGGGAATATAGGTAAATAGGACCTGCTTTCACGAGCCTTTGTGTTTCTTGGGGTTTTGTTTGTTTCCAAATGCCATCATTATTCGGGACATTTTTATGGCATGCAATTAATGCTGTTTTTCATTTTCAAAGCAAACCTCATAGGAGTGGATAAGAGTAGGAATCTAAAGGTATATCCAGTATATTTCAATCCATCCAAGCTGGGATGTAAGGAAACGTTGATGTATCGGTGGTTATTTTTCACTTTTTTTGTTCCTTTAATTAGCATTGTATGAATAATGTAAATATATATGATAATTTGGGGTACTGCTGAAAAGCCCACTGAAGTCAGTGGATTGAATTCTATGCCTTCAGTGGGGTTTTGAAACTCAGACCCAAATCATGTAATATGGGGAATGGTCATTTTGGGGAAGAAAACAAAGAATAGTTTGGAATATGGTAAAGAATATTAAAAAACCAAAAAATCTCTCTACAGAAATCCCTGTGGGAGAATTGAAATAACCACTTTGGCTGCTTTAAAATAACTAAAACTTCTAGCAATATGTAATTGTGATATGAAAGAAAATTCATATAATTATAAGAACCATGCTGGAAAACTGGTGTTGCTGCCCTTAAGGGCATAAAATTGCTGTTGAAATCCCACTTATATATACTACATTATTTGTACTGGAGTAGGGCTTTTTCTTTTTTTTTTTTCTGCATAATTTCATCTTTATTTAATTTTTAATGCTTTCTAATGGGACAAATATTTAGAAAGGTAAGAAAGCCCTGAGGTTAATAACTTTGACCCCCCCTCCTTTCCCCCCTGAAATCCAAACTTGTTTTTTGTTGGTTTTTTTCTGAGGAGAAATGCCCTGTGCAGAAAAATAGCGATTTTTTTCTGTGTTGTTTATGCAGACATTGAATCCATCCTGAAGAAATGAAGCTCAGGTTCATTTCTCTGTCCTTCCTTAGATAAAATTGCCAAAGATTTGACAGCGAGTTGGCATTAGCAGCAAGGGCTGTACTTTAGTAATTATGTCCCTAATCCAGAGGCCAAAATTTGGGTGTTTTTTTTAACCTTTTATTATTTTCCCAATCCCCCCAGATGTCCTGTTCAGGCTGTTCTTGTTCCTCTTCTGTGGTGCCATTTGGAGGAATGGCCATGAAATTCCCCTTTTTTCCCAGAATTTTGGTGGTGGGCCTGTTCTTTTTCATGGAATTTTTGCTGAACAGAGACTAACTGCAGTGAGATAAACTTTGGTAAAATAAAATAAAATAGCAGGAAAAAAGGGGGAAAACACCTTTATTGGTCATTTAAACTCAAAGAGATTCTCCCAAAGCAGTGAGATGTCACCCACTGATGTGATATCACTTCACCCACCCACCCCAAAAAGAAAATGAAATAAATAGTCCCTGAATGTTGTCCAGTGTTTTGTAAAATGAAAAGTGTCTCTCTGTGAGGTTCCAAATACTTGACATCAGCCCTGGTGGCTGGAACCCACCAATCCTTTCCAGCATTCCCTTCTCCTTCCCCTTCTGTCCATTCTGCCTGCCCAAGGCAAAAAGGGAAAAAAACCTCAAACAGATGGGTATTGATAATACCCATTAACCAATTAATTTGTGTGAATAATGACAAATTCCTGTGTGGGGGGAGCTCAGGTGTGTGGGCATCACCCATGTGAGGAGCACTCAGAGGTCAGCTCATCCCACATGCCCCTCACTCTTCCCTTCCCAAGCCAGGAGCAGTTTCCCTCCTTGCCAGTGAAAGGCGGATTTTTGGAAAGGCATCTCTTTATTTTGTAGTGACAGCGATGAAAAGCCGCTGAAAGGCAGCCTCCAGTCACTTAACGGGGACATTAAAGCCACTGGAAGTGCTGATAGTCTGGTAGATTATGGAGAAGGGGAGCATGGCATGTTCAATGAAGATGGTTCATTTATTGGAGCTTATTCTGGATCTAAGGAAAAAGGATCCGTGGAAAGCACTGGGAGTTCTACGGCAACTTTTCCTCTCCACGCCTAAAACGATTGGTGTTTAATTGTGATAATTATCCTGGCTAGCTCTCCACAGCTCCCGGGTGTGCTCAGGAGCAGGGGGCCAGTTGAGCCAGTCAGGAAAATCCTGGCGTCCAGGTAATACAAAAACGAGTCACTGCCACTAAAAGATGATTTTTCCATCCTAATTTCTATGTGTTTTCTTCTCAATAAATCAGAATAATTCTTTATTCTACCTGATGTGTTAGTCTGAGCAAACCAGAGTTTCTTGGTGGTACATCTGTATCCTTACCTGCTGCTCCAGGTGTTTCTTAGGCTTGGAATATGTTTCTCTGTGTAGTATTTTTGCCCTGTTCTCACAGGTGTATGTGTAAAATTCCCTCATGGCCTCGGTTATAACCTCAAGGTTATGGCACCAGCTAAAACAGCTCACTCTGCAAAGTGTGAACACACAAAGAGGAAAATTAGAATTTAAAATACCAGAGAAATATATTCTATATATGGTATAATTTTCCCTAAAGAATTAAACCCCTTTATGTATGATATTCAAAAAAAAAAACAACTGTTTTAGTGGTTACAGCTGACTTCAACTACCAACACTTAGAAATGCAGCTTTTACCCACAGGAGAGTGTGGGTGAAGCTGCTGCCCAGTAGCTGGCACTATTTCCTTAAATAAGCTGCAGCTCTTTCCTGTGGCAAGGCAAAACAGGGTTCCCATCCACCATCACTCAAAATATTTTTAATTTTTCCCAGCTGCAAGCTGCATTTCTAAGCAAACTCCTTGGTGTCTGTCTCATATCTGTATATTTGTGAGCTAGCCAACATTTCATGGAGACGTTGTACATATGATATTAATATTGATACAAGTCCAGAGCAGCCTGGTTTTATTTTGATCTGAGACATGTTGCTAGCATGGGTCTGTATAGCTGTGTAGGAATGAGTAGAATTGCTTCTCAATATGGATTTGGACCAGCAAAATTAGTTTTCAGAAGGAGTTGTGTGTATAGGAACCATCCAAACCTCACACCATTCAAGCATCACCTAAACTAGACCTACCTGACTCTCAAGAGTTCATTTCTTTTCAGCCTATTCACTGTTAAATAAACAAGAACAAAAAGCAAAGAGAAAATATTATGGTAGAGTTTGTTTTCCTATTTTGTTGACTGAATGCTGGTTTAAATCTGGTTCTTTGCCTCTCCAGCACTAACTCAGCCGAGCTGTACAGCACATTTTTTTGGTCTTTTTGTATTGGAATCTCCTGGATCTCTTTTTAATGGCATTTGCATTCTTGAATCTGCTTGTTTGAGTAGAGCATCAACGTGGCTTCATTTCTTCTGTCACTCCCATTAGGAAAGTTTTTAAGTAGTTCCTGCAGGAGAAATAGATCCTAAAAGCTGTTTGGCATCCTGATAGCAATTAAGCAAATGTCCCCAAATATCCTCCATGATTTCAATGGAAGAAAGAGAGGAAGCAAGAATTACTCACCTGGTTCTGAGTTGCCAGCAAGGGCCACGATTAAGCCCAGGGAAATGCAGATTATTTCCCAGTGGAAAGGCAGTGGATCCCCCACGGTTCTCCCCAGGCTGGGGCTGCTCCTCAGGGCTTGGCAGCTTCAGGAAGCCTTTGGTGCTCAAGCTTCTGCTTTCCTGTGCCTCTCTTTGGGTTTTTGATTGGAGCTTTTAAGGGCTTTTTATGTAACCTCTGTTTGGGAAAAGCAAACTCCAAAAGCCCCGTTCAGGCTATGCCTGTGAGTGGAAAATGGTGAGTGGAAATCTGCCCTCCATCAAGGATTATCCCATCCCATATCAGTGACCCACATTATTCACTTATTATTATTTATAAAGTTCTATTTTCTATATTTCACTCAGTCCAAACACCGAAAAGTCCAAAAGCCTTTTAATTTTCGGGGGGGAAAGTAATTTTCCAAAGAAGGGAGTGTACAATTAGAGAAATGTGAAAATTGGCATCTCAGCAACAGAGACATTTCCCAGCAGCATCTTTATCTGCTGACTCGTGTCTGCTGCAGCCCAAACCAGATAAAATCTAAGAACTGATTAGCCTTGTGACAACCTGCTGCTTGCTTTGGGCTGGTTTTAAAGCATTTCCTTAGGGAATCATCTGCAGTGATCGAAGGTCTTCGAAATTTAGGGAATAAAATTGGGGTGGGCTCCCCCAGCTCCTCACTTTGGGCTGTGGGGAGGCTGTGCCTGCACACATCACATTTTCCTCTGGGTCACTGCAGATAAACCAGACCCCTCACCCCAGAAAATGCCTCTGTTTTAGAGAAATGTTCCATTTGTCTGTGCAGTTTCAGCCATATTAATGGGTGCCAAATGATGCAGTGATGGATTTCAATCCCCCGTGCAGCTCTGGCTCTGCTGCTGCTGCTACGAGGTGTTTGTGATGTGCTGCTCAGCCAGGCTGGTGGCACTGCTTTGTCCACCCAGATTTCAATTCACAGCCTTAAAGCTTCATCTTGGTGTTTCCATGATGCCTCAGGACCTAAAAATCAGACAGGGATGGAAAGATGTGCAATGGAACCTGGGTTTTTGAACACAAAATTCCTGGTTTTGAGGAATATGCCCAATGAATATTAAACAAGTGGCTCAAACTCCCAGGAAATCTCACTCACCTGAGCTGTTTTCTCTGCCCCAATCATTTATTTTCCTTTTTTTCCCTGCATTAGGGTTTTATTTCCTGCTGTAAAGGTAATACTGGAAAGTGCAGGGCATTGATGGTTTTTTTGAGATTTGCTTTCAAAAGTAATTTAACAGAGCGAGCTGAGGTTTTTGTTGAGAAGTTTTTTGTCATTGCAAGGAGCTGGGCTGTGTTTTTGTCTTGGTGTGAGGTGAGAGGAAGTGTGACCATGTAGCTCAATAAAAGTGTCACCAACTGCACTGCAGTTTATGGAACTTCCTGAGTTGGAAAGGATCCACAAAGTCATCAAAGCCCACCCAAAAACCACTCCCTATTCTGAAATAGTGCATTGAGTATTAAATCTCTGTGTTGGTTTATTTGGGACTTCTTTTGATTTTTGGTTTTTCCCCTCTGGCCAGGAGAGTTTATTAAAGTTAGCTGCCAGAAATAAATTTCTTTCAAATTAAATTTAAATTTCTTCAAATTTAAATTTCTTCAAATTAATCAACACCTAGCAGTGAATTCCAGCCTGCCTGCTGGGAGGAGGGAGTCCAGCCATGGGAGCAGAACAGGGAATTATTATTATTTATCCCATGCCATGGCTGTGGTTGGGTTCCATTTACTTCTGACACATTTTGCCTCAGTACAAGTGTGAAATGGCACTCTCAGATTTGATATCCAAGTCGAGCCAGGATGTGATTCCAACCCTCAGGGCATTTCCCTGGCCCCATGGATCCAGGTTTGGGGATTTAAGCAGTCTCTGGAAGATGAGAGGGGTGGGTCTTGCTGAAAAAGTTGTGCATAAAATTACAAGATTATAAGATTAAACAAATCAAATTAGCTCTTCCTAAATAATGGGAAAAAAACTGCTCTGTCCTTTCTCCCAAGGGGGGCTGTTTGGATTCCCAGAGCAGCATAATATTGATTGGGTGTGCATAAATTTTTCTCTAATTTTTATGTATGTATACATATATATAATATGTATATATATATATATATAAAATATATATATAAAAATGTAATTACATTATCAAGAACTTGCAGGAACAGCCCCAGCTTCCCTCCCTGGCAAAATCAGGGGATCCAATCTCCAGAAACCCTCATGGCTCTGCACTCCAGCAGGATGAAAGAGCAGCACTGAGCATCAATGCCCTGCTGGGGCTGGATCTTTAGGAGGAGCAGAATTCAAAATCAAATCAGAAAATTACTTTCCCCCTCTGGATAAAATCATGTGTCCAGGTATAAAAAAATTTAAAAACCTTCATTGTAACTCACATCTTAAATGGATCTAATTAGCAAATCATTTAATGATGGATATTTGTTCTGCTGTGTTACAAATTCCAGTGAGTAACTCTTTTCCTGGTAACTGCTTCCATTGACTGAATGGCTACAATCCAGTGCACGAGAGGTTTTCATCAAAGTTTTCAGGCCAATATTATTTGTGACATGAAAACAAATAGTAGTGCATTTTTCTGTATTTAAAAAAAAAGAAAAAAAAAAAAAAAAAAGTGGGGTTTTTAAACAGTGGTTTCACATTTTATAAAGAAAAGTTAGAATAACGTTCACTGCTCCCTGAGCTTTTGAGAGGAAACCTCAGCATCATTTTTCACAGCCATTCTTTTGCAGATGAGAAGTGTATTTGGGTTATTTTGCTTACCTGTAAGAACAGATAGAAAGAAAGGAAATTCTTCATGGAGAATTCCCTTTGTTTGCCAATGGATCACACCCTCAGCTGCATCTCTGTCAGTGTTTATGACAAAAAAATCAAGGTACAAAGCACACTGGAGTAGCAGGACGTGTTTACATTGCAGCTCTGGATCTCTCATGTCAAATCTCAAGTGATCTGCACTGATTTGTTCTGTTTTCAGGCAGGAGCCCCTCGGGGGGTTTGAGCCAAAGCATTCTGTCTGTTCATTTTTTATTATTACGGTTCTGACTTTAAAACAAGAGACTTTGTAATTTCATGAGAAAAAGATCAAAGGAAATGTGGTGTCACCATCACAATGTTACTTTTTTTGGGAGCTAAATGTTAGTGTGCATTGATTAAAGTTTAGAGGAACGTGTTGTACTGTAGTTGCTGTTTGTACCACGCAGATGTGCACGTACCGTTTGAAAAGATATTTTCATTTTACATGAAATACAACTTTGCTAATAAAAGTTTGACTTGATGTAATCTTCAAAAGCCTTGGCTGCAATCAGCAAGTTTCTTTTGTTTGGTTTGGGGGTTTTGTTTGATTCTTTTTTTCACTTGACACTGTTTATTTGCTGGGAATCTGATTTAATTGTGACTCTCAGCCCTCTCTAGGCTGTGACTTGTGGGGTTTTTTTTGGTTTCACACCAAGGTTGAGCTGCCCTTGGCTTTCACTGAGATTTTTGGACACCATGGATGATCAGCCCTCTGGATATGACACCAAAGCAGGATGAAGCTGACCTGCAAAGAGCCTGAATTCAAATTCCTCATTGATTCTGTGTGATCCTCTCCTGGACCAAACTGTGACCCTGTAAATTGTTAACAACTCTCACAGGCTTTTGTTACCAGCACAAAACCTCCCAACACACAGAGTTTCTACTCCTCTTCCTTAAAGATCGCCAGAATATTGGTCATTTTATTAATATCCAGGTAATTTTATAAACATCCAGATAATTTTATAAACATCCAGGTAATTTTATAAATATCCATGTGCACACAAACCCAGTAAGACCATTTTTTGGTGGTTTTTTTAAGGGGAAAACTACACTTGTGCTTAAAGTCTGCAAAAAAAAGATGCAAAAAAAAAAATCTATATGGATTCATTTTATAGGAATTTAGCAAATGGGCTTTGTCTGCCAAGGAAAATATCTCGGTTCTTTCGTTACTCCCTCTCTCCATCACCAATGCTCTGTCCCAGGATTAATTCTACTCTGTCCCTGGGGAAGGCTCTGCAGTGAACACCAATTCACCCTCCTGATTCCTGGAACAGCCAACCTGAGGACTCGTTAAAAGACAGCAGACAAATCCACAGCAGCTGTTATTGCTGAAAAATCCATTTTTTTAATGTGTTTAACAGGGATCTGAAAGAGCTGCTTGATACTCAAGTGTGTTGAGCACCACCCTTGATGCCAGTGTGGCTTCTGTGCTGTTCTGAGTGTATTTCACTGCATTTCAGTGAAAGGAATTCTTTTTTTTTGCCACGTGTTTTTAGCTGCTTGACTTCAGCAGGAAAGCTTTGGGACTTTTTTTAATGCATTCTTCACCTGCAAGAAGTGAATACCCTCAGAGGGAATGTGCTACCATCCTGTGCTAACAGGAATTCACCTTTCAGGGAGCCCTCAAGGGCATCCCAAGAAGGTTTTTATTATCATTCATATCCTGGAATAATGAGATTTACACTTTTCTCAATAGCATAATGGAGGGGAGAAAGTCCTACAATCATGTGCTTCACTGGAGTGAGAATAAAGGTGCTGCTGCCACCAGCAGGTGTGTGGGAGCTGATCTCACACAAGTTTAAGGATAAAATATGGGATTTATTTTCCTCTATGAGGTAATTTATATGAAACATGCATTAAAATATTCCTGGACTGTTGAAAATGAGAGTGAATAACAACTTCCAGTGGTGCAGGAGCTCTGGTTAATTATGTATAATTTTGAAAATATTTGATCTTTTGATTTGGGGACAGGGTTATCATAATTAGACCTGTTTTTGGGGCAGAGCATTCCTTCTAATGCTCAAACATTTCCCTCTGTTCTTCAGTCTCACAAGGAAATGTCATCACTTTTCCACTTCAGCATCTGTTAATCAGCTGGGGATGCAGAGGAGTCCCTCAGTCACCCCCAGGGAAACACCAGCAGCCTCACTCTGCTGAAATGTCTGAGCTCTGCAGATTTCTCAGCCTCATTTAACAAGACTTGGGTGTTGTTTTTATTCCTCCCAGCCCGGGGTTTGCATCATGTTCTTCTCCATTTGTTTGGAACATTGGGGCAGGAATATCTCAAACCAGAAAATAGGCAGCAGTACCCCAGGTTTGGGTGGGTTTGGTTTTTATTTTTGCTTTTACCACCTGATTTTGTTTGGGAGTCCCAAAACTTGTTTGCAGTAGTTTTATTGACTTAAAACTCTAAAAATGGATGGTTTTTGTGGCTGTGCTTCACCTGGGATGGGGATGAGGAAGGCTGTGAGGAGGAGTGGGAGGGTGGGAAACAAGGGGCAGCTGTGGCTGGCACAGGACCAGAACTGGGTCATTCCCAATTGCTCCTCCTGCAGAAAATGGGGTACAGGAGGTGCCTCTTTGCTAATTATCCTGGTGGAAAGTCAGATTTTCCTTCCAGTGGAATTACCTTGGTGGCTGAGAAGTGAATTTCCCTCAGCTCTGCACTGGTGTTGCAGCTCCTGGTGTGGGAGCAGGAGCAGAGGCTTCCCACACCTCTCCTGGGCTGGGCATGGAGCTGGAGCTGCTGGGAGCCCCATGGAAAAGTGGATCAGGTGAGAATAACCAGCAGTGGGAAGAAGGGTTTGGTGCTGCTTTACCTGGAAGAGAACATCAGAAGACCTTGCTGAGGAGGTTTGGGGGGCTGTGGTCCCTCCTGAGGGGGTTTGCTGTACCAGGGCTGGTTTTTCCCCCTTTTCCCTTGGCTGGATGATGTGGCTGCTCTGTTGTTTTTCTCCTGGAATGTTTCCTTGTCCCTAAGGCAGCCAGGCTGCCTCTCCTGCACAAGCTTGGTTATTTTGTCCCGCTCCTGACCCAATCAGGATTTATCTGTGTTGATCCCTCACCTCCTCCATCCCGGGCTTGGAAAAGTTCCAGCCTGTTTTGTATCTGTGCTGAGGCTTCTCCTTCTCCGTGCATGATTCTCCTCAGCTCCTTGGGGAAGTCGTATTTCACTGACAGTGTGTTCTTCCCTCCTCCCCAAGTATCAATAAATGCAAAACCAGCACAGGCAGCTGCACCTGGGATTTTGAATTCAGCATGGATTGAGGTGTCCGAGCTTCCAGCCTTTCTGGTACTTTAAAAAAAACATTTTTATTTATTTTATTTTGAGAAGAACACAACAATTTGTCCAAAGAGTTCCCATTTACTCCTGTGGGTGATGGAAAGATCTGGGCAGGAGTTCAGGCCCTCCCCAGCGTGTTCCTGGAGTGGGGACCTGCCTGAGCCTGGTCCTGGGGTGGGATTTCACCTGGGAATTGCTGCTGCTGCTCCCTCCTGTGCATCTCTGCAGGTGGCTGGACACATCAGGCTGCTGCTATTTTGAAATGAGTTCCTTTTATGATTATTTATTAAATAATGAAAAGCATAAATGCAGTTTCTAATAAAAATCACCTCGCTATGTGTAAGCCTTTATGACTTCAGGCAGTCACCGTTCCGAACATTTATTTTCCCCTAAGTGGCAATTTATATGAAACATGCATTAAAAAAAAAATATTCTTGGACTATTTAAAATGAGAGTGGAGTAACAACTTGCAGTGGTGCAGGAGCTCTGGTTAATTATTTATAATTTTGAAAAGTACATTTTCCAAGCTCGGCATGGAGCCCAGAGGCCACTAAGTAAATAAATTTACATAAAATGCAGTGAAATCAGATCATTTGACACAGTAATTCACCTAATTTAAAAAAAAATAAAAAAAGGTCTTGAGGAAAAATGGTTGCTGCAGAGAGGAGTGTCAGCAGAGGGATGTGGAAGTGGCAGTGACAAGAGGAGTGGGAATAGCTCTGGAATTCCTCCTTGAGAGATGGGGGAACACCATGGGAGCTGTAAAACCACTCATTTTCATTGTTGCCTCATCAGGATGAGGATGAGTTGAGCAGAAAATTGTCTCCTGGAAATATTTTCTTTGTTTCATTCCCCACAGCCATCATTTCTTGAGAACATAAAATTCATTGATTGGTTTCTTAGAAAATATTTACTGAAAATCCAAAAACTCTTCACTTTTTTAGTGCATTTTCTATGATGCCAAGGCTGCAGACTATTTCCTGTCCCAGGTTTTATCCATTTGTTGTTTTCCTCTGCTGGGCTCACTTTCCTACCAAGGTTTTCACTCTCAGCATCTCCTTGGCTTTACCTGGATCCCACTTTTCTGAACTTCCCAGCTCCTGGAGTCCCAGAATGACAGAATTAAGAATAAGAGGAAGAATTCAAGTGTTGTGCTTTCAGATTATTTCAATAAGGGAAAAATAGAAGTACAGCCTACCTCAAGGAATAAAGGTCACCAAGTTTAGCCTGATTTATTGGGAGTTTTACACTGCAGATCACACTTTTAAAAAAGAAATAGTTACAAAACCTCTTCCTTTTGGCTACATAATGCCATGGGGGATGGAAGAATGTGCTTATTCTTTTTCAATATTCAGGATTGTTACTTTCTCATTGACTCTTCCTTTCAAAACTGAGCATTTAAGCCTTTGAAAAGCCCATATTTGGACTCATTTTGGCAAACCTCATAAAAACACACATTTGTCAGTCCTATTCTATCTGAGTTTAAATTTATCCACATCTCTCCTTGCCAAAATATTATTTTTTTCTCACATCTGCCCTGGAAGTTTCCAATTGAGGAAACTTCCAACTCCATGGGCTCTTTTCATCAGCCACTTCTCAGCTCCCATTGTACCTGGAACTTTCTGTCAGCCTCAGACAGAGCTGAACCCCTTTTTTTTTTTTTCTTTTTCTCCTAATCAAGATAATAACTGCAAAGAATGGATGGATTTTGCTGCCCTGGAAAATGCAGACTACTTCTTGCCATAATTATCAAGTCTTTAACTGGTAATTGCACACTGTTCCCATCTATCTGCTGTCAGATTTATTTCTGTAATTGACCTCCTGGTCCAGGAATTAGAGACAGCCTTTGATTATTGGCTCAATTAGTCTTAAAGCATCATGGGTTTTTCTTTCTTCTTCTTTTTTAAGGTATTTTAGCTCTCCAGCCCATCAAAGGAAGTATAAAAAAGGTCACTAAATATTTCTTACCTTTATCACTATTAGTACCTGCTGAGTCTCATTTGATTCAGTCTGTACTGATGCATTCAGGAGGGTTTTGATGAGAAAGGATTGACTCTGTGCTTTTTCTTACTTTTAACCTGTAGGGACACCTTTTTGGGGACAAGAAATGGCTTTTTGGTGGTGGTGGTGCTGAGCTGTGCCATCCCCAGTGCTCCCCACCTGATGTGTTTGTGTGGAGTTGAAGAATTGCACCTAAATTGAGGGAAGAGGTGGAAGCAGCCCAAGTCATCTCTGAGAGCTGGCCTTCAGTCAAGCCATTCATTAGATTATTAAAATATCATAAGGAGTCAGGGATTTCAGAATTCCCCCTCTCTAACTTCACCACTGCATCAGAGTTGCCAAATATATGGAATTTCTTTCTTTTCCCCAGTACAAAACAACAAGCTTAGCCGCTTCCCTGAGACTATTCATTTTCACCACATCAGGAACTTATTAATTCTTGATGAGAATTCAAGCATTAATCAATTCTTGATTGAATTCTCCCCAGAGGGAAAGAGGAGAAACTGGGCCAGATTTGCCTTTTGGCTGCTTTGAGCTCTGACTGAGCACACGTGGAGCTGGGGGATGATCAGTCTGCTCCGTATCAAACCCATCTCCAGAGCTAATGGTGCACTCTGAAGACAATCTCCCTGTACAGGTGAGGACAAAGGGGCCCAAGACCTTTGCAAAAATGCATTAAAACCTGAAGATAAAAGTTATTTGTGAGTGTTGCTGATATTTTCTCCCTCATGCCAAAAAAATAAATAAAAAAAAATGGAACCCAAACATGTAATCTGATGAAAAATATGTCCAAAAACAGCCCAAGGAAATGTTGTTCCTTTTAATTGCAAGGGAAAAGGAGTCATGGAGGTCTCAGGTGGTGGCAGTGCAATCCCAGAATGGTTTGGGTTGGAAAGGACCTCAAAGATCATCTCATTCCCACCCTGCCATGGCAGGGACACTTTCACCTGTCCCAGCTGCTCCAGGTTCTGTCCAGCCTGGCCCTGGGCACTCCCAGGGATCCAGGGGCAGCCCCAGCAGTGCAAAACCTCCAAGGCCAACCTTCACTTCCAGCCCAGCTGTTCCTGAGCTCAGGCTTTGAGGATGGACTTGTGCTGCTCAGCTTCTTCCTTCTTCCCTCCTTCAGGCTGCTGCAGCTGGAAATGATTTTGTTTTTATTCCTTCCAGCCTCCAGAGCCGGCCTGCTGTGCTCTGAAGGGCTGGTGCTGGTGTGACCCCGCTCCCAGGCTGACTGCAGGGTGGGAGGGATGTGGGAACTCTGCTCCCAAACCCAAAGGAAAGGCAGGTTTGGGAGGGATGGGAGCCTGGGATGAGGACTGAGCGTTTGGGCACTGCCCCAGGGTGTGAGCACAGGGCTGAGCTGGCACCAGATCCAGCTGCTGGGCAGGCACAGAACTGGAGCAGCTTTTAAGCTCCTTTACCCTGATTTTCCCATTTCTGAATTGTGAAATGTGGCCCTGGCTGCCCTGGGAAAAGCAGAGGGAATGGGATCAGATGGGATGGGCTTTAACCCCGGTGCTGGAGGGTGGATGGAGGAGCAGAGCTGGAGGAGCAGAACCAGAGGGCTCTTGGTGGTCCAGGAAGGCCCAGCTGCCCCATCCTCTCTGGTTTGGGGCTCAAAGCAGCAGAATTCTCTGATTTGAGCTTTTGCCATGCTGGGCATCACCAGCAGTGCCAGGTTCTGGGGACACCACGGTGACAATGAGGATGGTTTCTGTGGGGGGTAATGGCAATGCAGGCTCTGGTTGCTGTGAATGGCTCTAGTGGATTTAAGTGGGTAAAAAAATGGGAAATATTTCAATTTTCTCTTCAAAGACGCTTTGTGCTCAAAGTGTTAAGACGAATCCCCTGGCAGTGATGGCATCCAATGGCATTGGGGGTTTATGGATTGCTGTCCTGCCTCCTAGGGAAAGAGAGAACCTCTATTTCAACCAGTCTCAGCTGGGCAGGAAGAGCAGAAAACAGCTTGAAAAGTCAGGAGGGGAATATGGGAGCACTTAAAAGAGGATGTCAGCAATGAAATGGAGATTTATCAATTCTAGTGACCTGTATAAACAGATGAGAGGAGTTGTAGCTGGTCATTTAAAACCATGTAAATTTAATTAAATTGGTATTGCTTGCAGGAAAGAGAAAGTATTGAAAATAGCAATTAGTGGCTCTTTGTGCCCTTTTGGGAGCAGCAAGTAGGAAGCAGACCCAGGGAAATGGCACTTGGAGCAGCCTGCAGTGCCCCTGGCAGTCCCAGGCAATAAATACAAATGAGCCATCAGCATTCCAGGTCAGCTTTCTGATAGCTGGAATACAGGATGGGGCACTTGGCCACGGCTGCTAGGAAATAAACCCCACAGGATGGTCTTTACCTTGGTTTTGCAGGGTGGAAGGAGCTGGTCCTTGGGAAAGGACCATGGAAGTTTTGGGAAGCCAGCACAGAAGATTTGGAGCAGCTGGTGGGAGATTGCCCTGAGTGTTTCCTACAAACTGAATTTTCCTAATTCAAGGTGTACAGCACATCCAGCAGGGTGGAGCTCTAGATTAGATCCCACAGAAAGAGAAAAATTGATCAGTGTATGGAAAATTAGTGGTTGCTCGCTTTGATCGTGTCTGGTTTATGCTAATGGAGAAAAAAAATATATTTACTGCTCTCCAAAAGCTCCAATTTCACAATGAGGAAAACAATCCAACTCCCCAGATTCCTCCACCCCTCTCCTGTCCCTGATAAAACACCCAGAAAGTGGCAAGTGGGGTGATCAGGAGCCCATGGCAGGGAATGGAAGTGAGGATTTCATAATGTTCTTGAAGTGTGATAGGAGTGAAGTTCCTCAGCCCATTTTCAGGTGGATCCAGGGCTGCTGCTGCTGCCTCTGTCCTCTCCCTGGGAGGGAGGAGGGTGATGCTGCTGCCTCACAGGAGGGAATAATTTATCTCCCAGCAGTGATTAAGAGGCAGTTAAACAGCAGCTCCTCTCATCAGACTCTGTTAAATCAGTAAGTCTGCCTAACTGGCACCTAAAATTTTTAAGAGCCATCTGAGCTACTCTTTGGATCGTTAATGTTTATTTTTAATAAGTCCTGGCTTGCAGGGGAAGTTTCAATAGGCTGGAAGAAAGCTTGTGCTCTGCCATTATTTAAAGAGGGTAAATGGGCTGACCTGAGTAATTACAAGGCTGTCAGATGAGCGTTCAATCAATATGTGTTTGATAGCACCAAATGTAAGGTCATCTATCCAGGAATAATGAACGGAGCTGGTGCAGGCAGGAGAGGAGATCTTATCCCCCAGCACAAGAGGAGAATGCTGAGCAGGGCTGGGGAGAATCCCTCACCCTGGCACGGGGGAGCTCCATGAGGGGATGCTGCTGGCCTGCTTTTGCATCTGCAGTTCATGAGGATGCTTGGGAATGCAGAGGGAATTCAGGGAAAATTCACCAGGATGATGAGAGGTTTTGCAGTCCACAATATAAAACTGGGGTCTGCTTAACCCACATTAATTAATTTTAATTTCTCTTCAAAAGCTCATGAACTTCGTGGTTTTAAAGAACCATCAAAACCTTGTGCCATCTCTATATTTTTCCAGATTCATTTCTTATTTAATTGACAAAATTAGTGGCAACAATATCTGCCCTGTTTTTCTCCTTTAATTGTCTGTTGGAGCTTCTGAATGAAATTGCTATTGGATTTTGGGGACTTGGATTGTGAATTAGCGATACAATTTGCACGCTGATGTTGGGTTTGTAAGTTGCTTGTGTTCCAAAAGAAACTGCCAATGCCTTTATGAAGAAAAAGACATTAAAATCCTGTAGTCCAGTAGGAACTGGGTGTGGAAGGGCTTCTGGAACAGCTGGGTCTCCTTGGGTACTCCCACCCTGGTTTCCCACCAGGAGATAAGGAAATGTGGGAATAAATGATGTGGTGGGAATAAAGCTGCTTTTGACAAAAAAAACCTCTGTTTTTTACAAAAACCTGTATTTTGGAAGTCTAGTTTGACTTTGTATTTTAGTTAAGATCTGCTTTTCAGGGTTTAAACAATAACTTCTGTTTGGAATTTAAATCCATCTTTTGGGAGATGGAACCTAAATGAAGTCCATCAAATCATTCACTAGAGGAAAAATCCAGGCTGCAATATTTGCAGTACAACTTTCCCACTCTGTTCTTCCGTTCTCCCCCAGGTTAAGTTTTTAACCTTTCATTTCATTCCTCAGCAGGTGAAATTTGATATTGATATTTCTCACAAACTAGGCCAATATTTATTTCCTAGGCCTAGCTGGGAGTCAAAAGCATTCTGTGAGGTGGAAGTCCCTGGGAGCAGCAGAAAATCACGTTGGAATGTGGATTTCTGAATGAGGGAATGGCTCCTAAAGCTTGGCCAAACCCTTTCCTCTTTCCCCTGCTGCGCTGGGCTTGTATCTCCTGAAGCATCTACAATATACTAATTTCCAAAAATTTCACTTTGTCAAGCTCTCCTTTGATTCTTCCCTTCCTTCCAAATTCCAGTTTTCCCCCTCACCAGGGAAATAATCCTTTGAAGCTTCCTCACTTTGTTCATAGTAAGGTTATTGAAATATTTATTGGGTTCCTTCATGGGTAGAAATTCTCTGAGGAGGGTTCCAAGGACTGGGAGTCTGGTTTGGCTCCTCCTCCTGCCTGGTAAATCAATTTCTGCTCATTCCAAGTGAATGAGTCTGATTATCAATATTCCACCAGCAAGTAAATGGAATTCTATTGATTTGGGTGGAGCCAAGTCACATTTCTGAGTTAACTTTTAATCCACAGGATCCAACTCCATGGGATACAGCTGGCAGGATAACATCACTGTTTAATCCAAATCCATTATCAAACACACTTTTTCTTTTCCTGAGTACTCACCACCCTACAAATCTTATTTTAATGGTTTTCTTAGTGTGCTATGCTGTTCTTTAGTGTTAAAATTAAGAAAACAAGCGTTCTTTTAATTATCTAACAGTGGTTGGTTTGTTGGCTTGGTTTTTTAATGAGAGTTTCTTTGTTCTTATCACTAAAGAAACCTCTGCCAAAAGTCAGTGCCTTTGCAACTGCGGCATTTCCCAGCGAGACCAGCAACATTCAAGGTTATTTTTGGAGAGAATTTTGTCAAATAATGGTCACTTTGGGTTACTGTGGGAAAAAAAAAAATCTTCACTGATCAGCTGACAGATTGTTCTCAATTTCCAAGTCCTAAAAAAGAGAAAATGTACTCTTTAATTCTTAATATTTCCAAATGTGATTTTCACAACTGGGAAAATGCGGGAACAGTGAGCACACTTCCCACATTTTGTGAAACATATGGAAAGAACTTTTTATAGGGTTTCTAATGAAGTCTTTGTTATTGCAGCATGTGGATATTCTGAGTGTTGTCAGGTTGTCTTTTGTTGGTGTTTGTGCTATAATTCATTGTGCCAAATGGCTGTGAATTCCAAGGAGCTGTAATTTTATTTAAGAATTCTGATTTCCACTTGAGCAGCTCGGGAGGAAATTATCAGGAATTTAATGTGGAACCTTGATCATGCAACCTGTTTTGTTAATTTGTTTGTTTGGGTTTCTGTTTATCCTTATGGAGAATTGCAGCTCAGAGAAATAAAATAGAATTATTTCATAGGGAGGGATTTCTAAGGAATGTCAATCCTGCAGCATCTCTGTGTTGCTGCCTGTGGAACTGTGGCATTTTGGAGCTCTAAACTGGAGAACAGGAGTGGAGGATTGTCTGTGTCCTGGCCATCAGTGGTGTGTCCCACCACTGCTGCTTGCTGGGATGGGTGGGGGGTCTGTGCTGTGCTGAAATGATCAAACTCATGATCCCCTTCAGCGAGGAGAAAGCTGAGAGAGAAACGTGGCATTAAAAAGAGACAGAGCAAAGACTCCCAGGGCTGGGATGCTGCTGATCAAAGCACACCCAGGGACATGGGCTTGGCTCAAAGGCTCCAGCCACAGCTCTCACTTATCCATGAATATATTCCTTCTACTTTATCCTCTACCAGTCATTATTTCTGTCATCCCTGTTTTCCCTAGGAGGTGGTCATTATTTCCTGCTGGTCATTATTTCATGCTGGTCATTATTTCACAGGCCTGCTCCAGTCATTATCAATTGATGGCATTGTTTCATGTTCTCCACAGAAGAATTCCATCCAGGATCTCTGCCCTGCAGTTCCTGCTTGTGGCCAACACGACAGCAGCCAGGGGGGAAGTGTGAAGGCAGCTTTGGTTTGTTGGTTTTCAGTGCAGTCACATCCCCAGGTTGTGTTCTCCTGCAGCCCATGGATGCTGTGGCACAGGTAAAATAATGACACCACCTGAATTTGGGGGTGTTTCACCTCTCTGTTCAGAGAAGATTTGCAGCCCAGGACACAGAGTCCCAATCCATGCACCTATGAAAATTTAAGGTATTTTCGGGGGGCCTTTTCCTGCTTTCCCTGGAGGTTGAATATTTTGGGGGCTTTTTTTTGCTGCCTGTGTGTGGTTGGACCCACCCTGTTGTCTCCTGGGCTGTGAGACACTGGAAGCTGATCAAAAACCATTTGGGGTCATCCCAAACCTTCTAAAATGCCTCATGCAGAGAAAATACCTCTCCAATAATATCTTCAGAACAACTCCTGGGTTTTTGCATGAGGCAGAGGTGTCACCACCAGGCTCAGCAACAATCTTAATCTGGATTTAGAACCCCCAGGTGTTGGACAGGGAGGAAGTACCAGATATGTGCTGCCAGCCCCTTGTTTCCAAGAGTTAACTGAGACCTGCAGAAGGAAATTTTATTGATTAGCTTTCAGGGTAAAAAATTAGCTATATTTGCCCAGATATGTTCAGCATCATTGTATATTGACTATATGTATGAAAGATGGATAAGATACAACCGTGATAGGCACATCTTGTCTGAAGCAATGGCCTTCATTAACTTGATTATTAAAGTGACCATATTAACACTGAGTGCTGCAGCCCCTCTGCCTCCCTGTGTGAGCAGCAGCATTTCAATCTTGTGTTCACTCAGCTCTAATTCCAGATTTCCAATGATACAACCTTTGAGACAACATTTTTCATGCTCTTCTGAGAGACAGGGAAACAGGAAAGGGATGAGAACACCACCCCGAGCAATTTGGACTAACCTGTTTCTTTCACGTTGATAATTAAGTTTATTTTCACAATTGGTTTGAAAAATGGGAAAATCACTTTGTTTTCCAGATAACCTGATTCATCTGCTATTTGCAAGGTACTGCTTGAGATCCAAAAATGAACATTTAGGCAGCAGGGTTGTTGTGTCTGAAAGAAAAACAAGGATGTGCTCACCCTGTGCTTGGATTTGCTGTGCTGAGGTTGCCTGGGCCAGCTCCATTTATTCCAGACTCCGTGTGGAATTTGGCTAGTTGCTGTGATGAATTAAGGGGCCAAGAAGATGAAGTGCTTTAATCATAATTGCCTGTTCAAGAGCCAAACTTCAAGGCAAGGATTTAATATCTTTAAGTGCAAGAGATAATAATAATGGCAAAAGTTACATTGTAAGGAGTAATTTCAGTTTCTAAAATAAGTCTCTGGTATAATACTCAACCAAGTAATTTGTGTAGCTACATAAATATTCCCTGTGTTCCTTAAAGCACCTCTTTTTTTTTTCCTTCAAGTCTGCAAATTACCCTTTTATGAGATGCTGTACAAACTAACTACTATATCTATTCAGAGTATGATAATATCTCCTTGCCTTTGAATGAAATATTTGGCCCTTGAGGATATGCCAGTAGCTCTCCTCACAAAATACCTGGAAATTGAATAAGATCTGCAGCTTTATTATGTACATATAATACTGGAACCTGTGGGATTATGTGTAGTAACCTTACTTACAGAACCAGGAGATGTATTTGCAGAATATATTTTAGGCTGGGACAGCTCAGTAACACATTTATAACATCCTTTGCTTATGTGGATTGATCTCAGGGAAATGCCACAGGTCTTAGCTCAGAAAAGGGACAAGGGTCCCCAGCACAATCTGAGTATTTAAAGTGCAACATTTCAGAGTGGCAGGAATAATATCTTTACCTGACACTGTAGTAATAAATCAGTTTCTAAATCCTTTTGGCTCAAAATGCCAAGATCTTGTAAGAAAATGCAGCTTTTCTCTTATAAGAAAAGCTCATGGATGGTTTCTCCCCAGATACTCTTCTTTTGAAACTGGAATAGAATTCTCAGGTATCAGAGAAATAATATTAGTGACCTCATACTGGTGAAATACTTGATTTTTTTCCAAAAGTGGATTTCCTCCCCTCTGGAAACAGGACTTGCTCTGGTGAAGAAGCTTTTCCCCCAAATATGTGCAATTTCCCACTCCACTTCCTTTGGAAGAAAGGAGGGGGAGAAAAAAATTAGACCTCTTCAAATAAGGAAAGGCCCCATGTTTGGAAATGGTGAGTAGGTTCCAGACTCTTATTTTTTTGGGAAGAAACTGGGAAAATGTAGAAACTTTCCCTTTTCAGAAATTCAAAAAATACTCTGCGGGCATGAAATCCTTCTTGACCAAAATGTAAACAGGTTAGGGCTTTGCAAATCACTGTTGTAGTTTTAGCCATGATGCCAAAGGCCTTTACAGAAACTTCTGAGAAGTCAAAATACAGGACAAAGCAGCTTTATCTGAGTTGAAGGAAAACAGAGGTTCCCAAACTCTTTTTTTCCCCTCGATCCTCTTAGCAGTTCCTTCACAGATAAATAATTCCATTACATTGCTGTTTGAAACATGCAAGCACGATCACTTTGGTGGCTTTAGTCATCCTATTTTTCTTTACTAAGCTGTTCTTTACAGGCCTTTTGAGGCACTGGAACCGAATCCATGTCCAATCAACCTGATCAGCATTTTTGGGCATGACTTTTCAATCACAGCATGATGTTCAGTCATTTAATGTAACTTTATACAACAGAGCTGTTTGGATTATTCCCTAAAGATTATCTGCAGGATCTTCAGGAGCATTTTGGATAGCTCAGAAGTTTCAGCACTGTATATATTTTTCATTACTTTCCTGCTGTTTCTGTAATGTTTCCAAAGTGTCAGTGCTGGGTACAGTAACAGAAGAGTTTGCAGTTGCCTTCACTGAGACAGCAATGCTGTCTAAGGTGAAATTAAAATAGACATCACTTATTTGTGGAATTAATTATTCAAATGTGCTCAGCAATCACTCACATCAACTCTCTGTGCTTACAAGGCTGTTTCTCCCCTCGTGCAAATGCCACCAAAACAATGAGAGGTGGTGCTGGGTTGTTTTGCATTAGTGAGAGCCAAACCTCCTCCTGCCTCTTGTATTATTTAAAATGTGCCTTTCATCAGTTATTCAGTGCAGTGCATTTGAGGGGGACAGAGTAAATCCTGATTCATTTGCATCAGAATCTAAACCTGGACATATCAGTCTAAAATTAATAGGTTTTGGACTATGACTTTCATTTGGTTCTTTCTAGTTGTCAGTTTCTGCATTAGGCTCAACTCATTTGGTTGGATTTTGGGTTTAGGCCTGATTGGGTTTCTGTTCTCCATCTGTATGG